AAACAAGTTTAAGAAGGAATTCATTTTACGAAGACTTCAGCAGTATCTTTTGCATGGTTTTCCATTCACTATTTTAAAAATAACCATGAAATGATGATGGTTGTTCATGTAGATGACTTGTTGGAAAAAATAGCATTTCTTGAATAGACTAAGAGAACATTAAAAAGAAGCGATTCTAAGTCATCAAGTTATTTAACTCATAGGTTTTAATGAAAACTTTAAGTTTGTACTACCTTTGTTACTGTACAATTGCTTTTTAATTTATTGTCCGGATAATTGCTGATGTAGTGAATTTGAAGATATTGTATGTATTAATGATTTTAACAGACACTTTACAGAAAAAGAATAAATGTGAAACGACGAAATAACTAAAGATTTTTAACTTCTAAAGACTTTCAAAAATGTTATGAATAAGGAAACGGAGTTAGAACAAGTGCTTTATCAAAACTAGGAAGTATTTTACAAGTGGACAAGAATAACACTTTCTAAATTTGGCAAACTTGAGTTAGTGTGACTTTAGTTGACATAGGTACTGAATATGCTTTGTCAATAAAAACTTTAAGTTTCATGCAAGAAGACTTTGGAGCGTGTTCAAGACCTTTCTGTGCATTTTAAGACTCCCTTACTTACTTACACCTGTTACTCCCAATAGAGCATAGGCCGCTGACCAGTATTCTCAAACTCACTCTGTTCTGGGCATGCTTTTCTAGTTCTATTCAATCGTCGTTCATTCTTCTCATGTCTGTCTCCACTTCTCCACGTAATGTGTTCTTTCGTCTTTCTCTCCTCCTTTGGCATTGAGGATACCATGTGAGGGCTTGCCTTGTGACATAGTTGGGTGGTTTCCTCAATGTGCGTCCTATCCACTTTCAGCTCTTCTTCCTGATTAATTCCTCCGCTGCAATCTGGTTAATTCTCTCCCATAGTAGGTTGTTGTTGCTGATAGTGCCTGACAAACGGATACAAATTATTCTGTGTAGACAACTGCTAATAAACACCCGTATCTTCTGGATGATGGCTATCGAAGTTCTCCAGGTTTCCGCTCCATACAATAGAACTCTCTTGACATTTGTATTGAAAATTCTGACATTGTTGTGAGTTGACGGAGAGTTGTTTTGAGTTCCATATATTCTCCAGTTGTGAATATGCTGCTCTTGTTTTGCTGATCCGCGCTTTCATATCTGCATCAGATCCACCGTGTTCATCAATGATGCTGATCAGATATGTGAAGGTTCTCACCTCTTCCAAATCCTCTCCGTCAATATGATTTGATTGTTGCATGTTGTGTTGAGTTGGAGAATCTTGCTTTTCCCTTTGTGAATGTTGAGTTCTACTGCTGCTAAGGCTGCTGCTTCACTGGTCGTCTTCTCGTGCATTTATTGTTGCGTGTGCGATAGAAGAGCCAGATCATCTGCGAAGTCTAGATCGTCCAACTGCATCCTAACTGTCCTCTGAATCTCATGTTTCCCCTCAGATTTTGACGTCTTCATAATCTAGTCGATTACCATGAGTAAGAGAAAGGATGAGAGTAAGACATCAGTGTCTTTTTCTGTTGAAGGGTCTTGATTAAGCACACCAGTTCCACAAAATTTTAAAAACATACTATTCAATCAAATTTCTCATTGATGTTATTCTTCTTCAATATTATAATATTTGTATGTATTATTCTTTTTCTTTTAGTCTGCATTCATTGAAGAGTTATGTAATGAAGCTTATAATCCAAATAATACATTTTGCATGAATACAGCATTAGATAAACAAGAAAACTTTACAAATTTCGATAAAACAAATGATCAAAATGTTATTGAAATATATGAAGAACAGGATAATACAAACGAATCATAAACAGGGATGTGAATAATAATGTTTCATCAACATTCAATTATGCCATGATGATGGTGATACTGATGAGCAAATCAACCGGTGTTGATAATACAGTTATGATATTCTGATTAAATTATCAAGAACGATGTTAAATCAATCATTTATGTAATAAAATTAATTCACTGATTATCATTGTTTTATCATAACTAAGGGGTAGTATACGGGATGATTAGTCTTGATAGTTTAGCTTCTTGGTAAAACAGAATTTATCTAAAACACAAAGTAACAGTCTGAGAAAGATTGATTTTATTTCACTTGTAAGGGTCTAATTCTTCCCGTTGTTTATGTTATGGACTGTAATTGATCAGTCCCTTTTGGTATATGTACTTTTTGAGCAGATTGTCTCGATTGAGACAACATTTACAGGCATTCTGAAGCAGAGAAAGATTGTGGCTAGTAGAGGAATTTAAAACGCGACTTTTGTCTTATTTGGAAATTGTCAGCTGGGTGTATCTGGATCACACTGGGGCTAGAACTAATAATGGCATCAACATTATATCCTTTGAGTAAGTTAGTAGCCACCTGGACTCAGTAAATTATTTAATGATGCTTTATGTATTTTCAGAGAAAGGTAATTGGCTCGAGTACAGGTGTTGTGGTGTATGCTACTTATACTGACAGATTTAAGTAGTGTATAGCGGCAATTGGAAGTGGAATGCCGATCAGCAGAAGATTGAAATGAAGAAAGCAGGAAGAAAATCGGAGAGCAATCGAAATAACAACAGAGTTAGGAGAACAATGTATTATGTAAAGGACAACGCAAAGAAGCTGTAAAAGTGATGCATTTAATATAAGATTTTCATATTTTACTAAGCCACTGTGTGAATTGACTTCACACTCATGATTTACCGCTCACTACAGTGTGAACGTCAGTACTGGTATACAAGCACATGCAACTGACGAGTCCCATATATGACGAAACGTGCGTCTTGAGTCTTGCTAGCCGCTACTAAAACTTTGCTTGACAAATCCGATCTGGACAACGCAATATATATATATATATATATATATATATATATATATATATATATATAACTATTTCTAATCTTTTGGATAATGGCTGTGACTACTCGTACGGATAGCACATTTCAAAAGTACTTGTCGCTTTCACTTGAATTTCCAGTGTCAGTCAATAGATTATTTATTAAGCTACCAAATTAGGTCTAGTCGAAAGGTTTATACACACTTTTATGATTAATTCGTTCCATTCCCATAATTTCAGTCAACTACATCGTGTATTGTTTGTAAATATTAACTTACTATGAAAATATTAGAAAGATCGATCACTTTGTGGGTGTAACACAGATGACATAATCATATCTTCTACTTAAAAAAAAGAAGAACCTAAATAATTCCGATATGATATGTTGTTATTTCAAGGTTCTAAAGTAATTCACAATGACTGTTCATTTCTACATCAAACTTCATTGTCACCTAGTGTTTAAGAAAACTATCTAGCGATAAGTTTGCAGCACTGATAAAAATAACACTGATCTCTTTTCTAAGTTCCATCTTACTATTTATGCACCATGCATAGATTATCCATGAAATTGGTATATGGTCATTATTATAATTTTAGAAGCAGAGATAGAAGTGGCGTCATCTGAATGTACCTGCATCCTGGAGTCGATGTTCACTCTGGGATCCGAACCTAATGTTGTTTGTTTCAAACGTCATCACGTTATTCACTTGGTCACTGAGTTCAGACGAAGCTTAATTCATTTGTACTAGTCGTTTGAATTTTCTCATTGCTATTCAATTTTTGCATGTATCCATCATCTGCAGATTGCTTTGATATTGCCATTAATACATAAGCATTATAAGCTGGTACATTCAGTTGACAAGTCCAAAATTATACAAAACGCACGTCATAGATTCCACTGATATCCATCGTACATCTCTGCCTATAATGCTCGCGACTTAGTGACAATATCGAGGCAATCCTCGTATAATGCATATATCGCCAAAAAGAGACTGATAAATTGTAATCCTGAATATCAATAAGAAAATTAAAACAACTAATACAAATGGTTTGCAATATTTGGTTTACGAATTTTACACTTCTGTGTTCAATACATTTTGTTTTGGATTAGGCCGAAATGCATGAAACTAATTAAACTACAAATTATTACGCTAAACATGATCAATTGGAATTACAGTGTTATTGATGTGATAATTTGTGCTGTCTTCTTCTTCTTCATCATCATCATCTTCTTATGATCGTTTGTCCCGTTTCCAAGATCTATTTTAACTTCATTAATGTTATGTACGTCAGATCATTGTTTCTAATCATATATATTACCATAATTTGTAACTAGACTATTTACAACTGGTGAGATATGGTTAAATACAAATATGATTTCATTTCCACTTTTGAAAGTTTCCATCTAACGCAAATCTATAGGTTGATAGAAAGTATTGAATTGTGTTTCAAACGAACCAACTGTTTTTGATGGAGTTTTGTTCTTGTGGTCATGGAATTCTCGTCGTTCTTCTGAAAGACATCATTAGCACAAACTTCAGGTAGACTTCTAACTCTACTACCAAACCATCCAGCTCAGAGAACAAAACCCCATTAAAAATCAATCCACCTGAGCTACAAATCTTCGCCAACGTATCAGAACCAACTGTTGTATGTCCATCAGGTAACGATTACTACTAATGTAGACTCAATAATAGATTTTAGGATTACTTGACATTCTTTTCAGTGACACAGTGATGAACAACATCTCACTTTGAAGATACAATAAATAAATATAGATAATATTCACAAAGAAAATATCACTATAGAGTTGATGAGTAAATTGTACACTGTTTGAGAGTAAAAATATGGACCTTTGTGTTTCAACTCAATAGTCTCTAAATGTGACGCGCCTATTGAATAACTTGAGAGTCCTCGATTCGATCGGTATCACGATTGTAGTTAAAAACTGATGACAAGTTCCGTAATAAAACGAATCGTTTATCAAATCCTGTTTAGATTTTATTAGTCGTTCAGATGGCATTAAACAGTGATCAAGATCCCCTGAATTTAGATTTTGTTACATTACTACAGATCATAAAGAAAAACCTAGCGAAAATTCAGTACAATACATAACAATGTATTTACACTAGATTTGCATAACTCTTTCAATCGTGTTAAATATTGGCTTTCAAGTATACAAACATCATTCTTATGTGTTCAATTTAATCACTTTACCACCGATTATTCTCAATATTATTTTGATCCAATTTTTGAATTATGTATGATCTGTAAATGAAAGAAATTCAAATTATTATTTTATGTATTCATTTAATTTAAAACAACATAGATATAAGCGAACAATATTGTTTTCGATTAGAACCTCATCATGCTTTACTCTAATAAACAGTAATATATGCATGAATGAAATGACTCAGAATCAATCACAATATCGTCGGAGTATACACTCTTTGTCTTCCTTTAAACTATAAGGGTAGAATCGCTTTATATCTTTCTTTCTATGAAATAACTAAGCCCTTATTATTCTTATCACAATTAGTACCTGAAGTTTATGCTGATGATGATGTCGTTCAGAAAAACGATGAAAGCTCGACAACCAAACTATCCACCTCAGAGAACAAAACTCCATCAGAAACAACTAATACACCTGTCATCACATTACCAATTTGTAATTACTCACTTATTATGTTTAGTTATGCAATCTATTCCACTGTTATTATTGACTATCAATTAGGGACGAGTGTTCTGCGTTGCAGTTTGTTCCGTTCTACTTTATAGCTGCGAAACGTGGCTATTAAGAGTAGAAGATAGGCGGAAGTTACTAGTATTTAATCACGGATGTCTTAGAAATGTTGCTCGCATCTGTTGGGATCATTAGGTAAGTAATAGTGAGGTTAGAAACAAGGTATTACGGAATGATCGTAAATCAGTTGATGAGATTGTGAATCTTCATCGACGAAGATGGTTGGGTCACGTGTCACGTATGCCTAAACACCGACTACCAAGATGTACAATTCTGAATAGTGTTGGGGATGGTTGGAAGAAAGTTAGAGGGCGGTCAAACCGAAACGTGGCATCAGTCCACAAATTCACTAACTTCTAGTTTTAGCCATGTTGGTAGATACAGACTACTTGGTTGGGATCCGCGTGATTATACTAACCAATGGTTTGGGACTCTGAGTGATATGGTTCAGAATCGATAAAAATAGTGTCGGTGTATACACTTTTTGTCTTCCTTTAAACTATAAGATTAAAATCGCTTTATATCTTTCTTTCTACGAACTAATTCCTTCTTCCTATACTATGTCCTTATATACAATCTTTTCTCTATATATGATGATTGAATCGAAATACAATATTGTTCGTTTATATCTGTGTTGTTCTAAATTATAGTGTGAGAAAGTTTTCCAAAAAATTCATTTAATTCCATTAAACTTACATACACATTTTCACTGTTTTTTCTTGAATTTTTATGCGAAAATTATGAAATAATTCTTTCCAATTTAATTGTTCAAATTTTTCTATTCTAATATGTATAGATATAAAAATAAAAAAAGAGGTTACATAATACTAACGATTGATTTCACTGGTTGAAATCATGAGTCAATTGATGCTGGACCACCATGGAAAACCTGAAAGCACTGTACGGCCGTTTCCTCCTAGTATGGGACTGTTCAGCAGTGCCCATCCACGACCCCGCATCCCGCAAGATTCGAACCCAATGGTGTACGGTGGCGCAACTTCGTGGACTGGTTGAAGTTAGACATTAACACTGTTGGATGCCAGCCGGCTCGATGGTCTAGTTGGTTAAGCGCCTGGCGCGAGACTGATGGGTCCTGAGTTCGAATCTCGCAGGGTGTGGGATCGTGGATGCGCAATGTTGAGCAGTCCCATAATGGACAAAACGGCCGTCCGGTGCTTCCAGGTTTTTCATGATGGTCTAGCTTCAATTGACTCATGATTTCAACTAGTGAAATTTCTAAAAATCTTCACAAAACCCATTCTGATACTAATAATGATTGAAATGAAGACAAAAAAGTTAAATAAACAAAAAACATGACAATGTTATAACTTTTATTTTCCAAAAAAAGAATTAAATCTACGAGTTTATCTATTTATCTACACATCTGTCTAATTCTAATTTGATGAAGTTTTGTTCTCTCAGCTGGATGGTTTAGTCGTGAAGCTTTCATCATTCTTCTGAACGGCCTCATCAGCATAAACTTCAGGTAAAAGTGAAGTGTTCGAGTTTTTCATTCATTAAATACTTGGACAGTAGAAGACGGCTATTATACGCAGTATGCTTTAAATAGTGACATTAAAAAACTGATGTGTGTATCTCAATATTTTGGTGATACATTTGCTTCTTCAACTTCTTTAAAGTTGCTAATTCTTATCTCCTATAACGTATACCAGTCGAATTCTAAATCATTTAATATTTGGATCATACATACTCCATAATGATAATTTGTCAACAAGGATACTAAATATCTATTTTTATACGTCTTTAACGACAAACTTTAGACAATATTGAAAACACATGTGTTGAAGTTGTAAATTTGAAGCAAACGGAACATTAAAACTCATGGGGTTGAGTAGATTGGATAAACGAATATCCTTGGATAACATTATTTGATATTTACTTCACTGTGTATCTTGTAGTTCTTGATCACAAAAGCAGTATTATCATGGATCAGTCACTTTTTTCATTTTATTCTGTATAAAAGCATACGTATACTGGATGTTTAAACTCATTACATTAGGTTTATATGCACTTACGTACAATTAAATCGTTACAGTAGCCTTCACTACTGTTATAGCGCTCGGTTTTACTTCTTCCAATGTTATAACGGTTGGGTTTCCACATTTACATATATAGGACGTTAATTTACCCTCCCAGTGTCTATTCTACAGGATGTCAACACAATTCAGACCAAGAACACGTGATTAGCCTGACCATAATGTAAATATATTTCCACACCGAAACCCGACACAATCCAACAACAATGAACAATCAATAATAAGTGAGTTGTAATAATAATAAAAATAATAATAATAATAAGGACAGGAGAATATATAACTCATCTGACACCTGTCAGACTATCTACATGTCTGACTAAGCAGATAACCAATCATTATCATTCTCGCCCACACATCAACTACCTACCGAAGATGTGTACATCACTGAAGCTCTAAATTGTATCATTTAACATTGTGTATTAGTCTACGTCACAGGATTGGAAACAAGCCACTCACCTTTTCGCTAAGTCTTTAAACTCGTTTGCCAAACATTCAAAGTCATCCTCCATTTTCTTCATGAATGAATGAATGTTAGTATTGACGGCGTTGTTTTCATATGTTTCAAATGAGCATGTTTCTTTTAACAATAAAGTGGAGCTATCAATCTGATCTTCCTGTAAAATATTTGAAACCATCTCAGGACTACTCGAAAAAACCTGGAAAATAGAAATTCAACCATGTTTGCAAAAAGAGTACAGCCAGCATCCGTCGTGTAGCGTATATTTATTGAACCTGTCTCTTATTTTAGAATAAATAAAGTATTATCTGCTTGCCGAGATTTCGATACAACTATACAGTCTACAAATTTTTATAGACGTCTGAAAACATAGACTTTCTAAAAGTGGAAATTTTTATTTATGACCCAATTACTTTTTAGGAATCATGATTCGATCGTATGGATGAAGCTATCGACTATCATGATCTCTAGACCTAAATGGATTATATGTTGGTATTAGTTTCCAAGGAATATCTACAGTTTTACGAGTAGTGATATCTCTAATAAGGTTTAAACCAGCATCGGAATTAGTGCTGTTACCGATGAGACAACTGAATTTCTATAGAACTAAATAATTATGCTAACTGATTACTGGCTAGTAACTAGTGTCAAGTGCTAATTGACACGATAAGCTAATCAGAGGTAGCTTAATAAGAAGTTCGATTGATGGCAATCAGAAGTGACCTGAAGGACAAGTGCATTTCATTAGCTAAGAAATGGATTGATTTCCTATGGGGTAGAGTTGCATATACATAAATGAATATTTTTGCACTTTATTTGGTAGTCCAGTATATTTTGTCGTTCACTCTTGTGTTTTTGCTCAGGCAGTCAGTTGAAGGGGTTGGTGTGTAGCACGCCGTGCATCAGTATTATATTTCGGACACAGCTCGTCACGACATAATTCAGATTCTATCAGTCATGATGTATCGTCGCCGCTCGCTCGAGTAGCCTGGTATCGCTCTCTGTATGCAAAGTTCAGTTTTCTACTCATCCTGTTTTCATTGGTGCTAAAACCGTTGATCATATAGCCCAGTGCATGGTATCTTATACAGACATAAATAATGTATGACCTGGCATAGACGATAATGGTCTCGAGTTGCCTCACCATTGTGAAGTCAACTTGATAAGAAGTATAGCAAAGGACTGGCAGTAACCATATTGTCAATGGTATTATACTCCAATCATATATAAAGTAACTCTGTTTAGAGCCCTTAATATGTTTGTAAACGTCTTAAAGAGACCGATGTCCTACAGATAATCTTAGAATACAGACTAGATGAATAAATGAAGACCAAGCAGCTGAAATAGAAGACATGACATTCCTGAGTAGAGGTTGGATGGTGAAATCAATTGGTCAGTGCCTTAGTATCTTTAGATGTCCCTCGTTGTATGTAGTTACTCGATAGATCAGTAGGACCCTGAATTTAACATATTAAGTCCAAATAACCTAAAAACCATAATAAATTTTGTTTAATGCATAACATGTTTCTATCCTAACTAGTGGTCATCATAGTCTAATAGTATACCAAATCCTAGAAGCTAACCTATTTCAACGGACTCATAAAAGGCTTGCAAATGTAAATCAAGCTCTTGAGTATGAACGAATTTATTTGGAAACAACGTTTTTTCTAATGCTTTAAGTAATTTAAATATCTAGAGAATAATTTGATGAGAAATAGTAATTAAGATCAGTTACCACGTCAGCGTGAAAAAAAGCTGTATATTATATTCGTTATCTAGACAATTAAAGCACTTTTATCTACAGTTTGGTCGGATCGGAAAGAATTTTCATTGTTTAATCAAGAAAAAACGATGAAAATGCTTTACATACACTGATGGTATTTGAATACAACAGAATAAAAATTTACATATCACGAATAATTTAGACGCTTTAACGCCTTAAGTGTAACAAAACTAATGAAGTTTGGTACAAAAAGTGAGGATTAAAGGAATGGGTTAGTTTGAACTTATTTTCAACTTATTAAAGAGGTTACTGCCAATAATTATCTGCTGAAATGATGACACTTAACTCTAATTAAAGGTCGAAACTATGATGACGTTTTACGTAGTGTATAGACAAATGTTGATATCAAATTAATATTCATTTCTAAGAGATTAAAGTTAAACTATGCTGATTTCAGAAACGGTTCTATAAGGAATGGTATTACCTTTGGGGATGTACTTCTAATTCCAGATCGGCAAACAATCTGATTTTGCATTATTTCCTCACTCCTTGGCAAATTAGGTCCAAGCCAAAGTAATAAAGATTCTAGTTCTTTTTTCACTGTTTCGCGAACTCGATCATCCAGCCCTTTTAGGAAAGTCATTCAAAATAGCATACATCTGACATAGAAATTTCACATTATGAAAAAAATATTGCACATTATTTCATTCAGATTTATTTTATGTCTCAGATTTGTGTTTAACAACAATTAGGAATCTATTCACTTTGTTGCGGACTCGAAATGTTTAAAAAATGGGTATTATTCCGTTTAGATTATGTTAAGGTTGACTAAGTAAGACAAGAACAGTCTTCGATATTAGTCAGTATTAATTGCAACTCTAAACAAGTTAAATATTAAACAATATGGCAGCAAGGTTCAGCATCTAGTTTGTGGTCAAGTTTTAATTCGCTAGTAAGTTACTGTTTACTAGCAAAACAAACGCACTTTGAGCTGGGATAATTTCTGTTTCCATATTTTATCTTTATAGTGTTACAAAGGATACTTTACCAAGCATGTACACAAAAACAATGGACTTTTGTACAGCTTTCGTTGAATGCTTTTCTACTAAGTGATTCGTTTATATAAAAAATGTGTTAGAGAAGTGTATGGACAAAATATGCTGATTTTTCAATTGCACATTGTTTCAAGTGGCACACATTTGTAGTTTTACTCACGTTCGTATTGGAAGACGTTACTGGTTAATGCGTTGTCAAAACTCCAAATACCTGCGGCATCTTCACCTTCTTGTCTGGAAAAATCCGTACTTATTGTGAACATATTTTATCTAAGAATTTTATTAACTTTATCAATAAGACATCATGGTACGTATGATATCCATATTAAGTAGTAAATGCCTAATTATATCCCCATAAGGAGATCTATGATGTCAGAAAGATACAAACTTTAAACTTATCTACTAAAATATTGATAAATGAAGACACTCAGGACTTCGTTCGAATTGTGTAAGTAGTTTGCATCATATGTCCAAGCAATCAATTCCAAGTTTTAAGTGAAAGTGTATACGAAATGATAAAAATTGTATGGAAATGATGATTTACTTGTCTAATCTAATTCATCTTTCTGGCACCCCCATGGAAGGAAAAAAGTAGATAATTATAAAAATTTTTTCTATTTATAAAATAAAATTCCTTAAGAATGTGTCACAATTTTGATAGCCCATAAAAACAAAGCAAAGATGCTAAAACCTACATTGGTAAAGTAGTACGGATATCGACAGCTGAAGTTTGAAACTTGGACTTTTAAAATGAATTTTTCGAAATGGAATATCTTTTCTGCAATCATTTAAAGAATGTGTATGATGGTTTATTTCACATTGAATATATAGATTAGTGTATTGTTTTTCATGTCTGTCGTTAACAGCCACGTGTTCAAAAGTTTTAAAGAGTTACAACAACACGTTGGCCATGCTGTGACCGTAGTTTGTAGTGAATTCAAGTATATAAATTGTTGTGGACTGCCCATATAACTTAGTTCAAACATTTAAAGAGGTGTTAATTCATGTTATTCTCATCCTTATTTGCTTAGGAGCCCCATACATATACTTTACTCCGAACTTTTCATACAAAAAGTACCTATAGGTTTTATTTATTTATTTATTTTAACACATAGATATTGGTACAAGGAGGCACCAAATACATATGCACCACACAAATCTCATTTGATATGTGTGAGGGCTGTGATGCTGTCCGGGTGCCCAAACCGAAACAGGTGGTTTTCTTAAGGGACCACACCCGGAACCTTCGACCCGAATGTCTGATCCACAAGGCAGTGGAGCATCGTAAGGAGATGCAGTCCGATGGTAGCCGGTGACCAACGATTGGTTCATACACCATTTGTTAATTCAGGATACTGGAGCCCATGTGCACCATTGGTTTGGAATTGAGTTAAGGTGCCGGACATTCGCTTTTCGTCCTCTCATTTTCGTAAACAACACCCTCGCCAAGAGAAGGCAGTGAGTAGAATTTCCCTGGAAGAGGCTATATACGCGTGGCCATGTGAGACCATTTCGAGAGGGAGAGCGGAATCTCCCCAGTCTCAGCCGTACCAGGGCATTTGGGGTTAGGTTAGACACAAACCTATTAATAAATGTTGAATAGTTATACTCATCGAGTCTACAGTAGTTGACAAGAAATAACGATAAATAGAGTCTTTGAAACAAGCTGTATGGCATGCTGTGCTTACCCTCTATCTCAGAAGCATTGAATTTCAGCAGGAAGTCAACCTGTAGTAGTTGTCACAAAAGCACGGATTGTTACCTGTGATCTTAGCAACTTAAGATTATTACGAATGAGAGTACACTGGTTTCTAAGCTCATGAAATTAAGCATTAAGAGGTTACTTTATGAGACTGTTATCTGTGTTACTTCGTTTGGTGACTTCTTGTGAACTGAGAAAGGACGTATTTAGTGAACCGGAAGATGATTCAGTTAGAGACGTTTTCAGCGAATCACCATTCTGTTACAACAAAAAATTCCAGTATTGGTATAATATGTAATTTCATACCTTGTTTGAGCAATTATCTTTGATTTTTGACCAAGACTTAGCGTCATCATTTTCTTCATCTTTAGCATACTCGCGTAGGAACTTCGAAAATCTGTCAGACAGTGGTGAGATGTTGTTAAATGCTTGATAAGAGCGATTAACTGTTCCGTTTTTCCGTGAGACTAATTAAAACTTACATATGTCGTCTTGTGAACAAAACGAACTCATTCCCACGATTACAGAAAATACTTTTGAATAGCCGCACATAGTGTAGACACAAACATACTCAAAATTGACGGATTGTATCGTAGCATTTGTTATTTTTTGTACGAGGTTTTCTCACAGTGAACTTATGCGCTCAAGGTTTAAAACTACTGACAGCACTAGAAGGATATACGAAGGTATTACAGCACTTAAATCGCTAGATGTTCAAATGGTTGTGGACAGAATGAAGGAAGCTTTCGCTCACCGGACTTCCGTGTCTAGTAGCAGTGGATCACCGACACCTCCATGCAAGAACCTAGGTATATTAACGATAATAGAGGAAAAAGTAATAGGTAAATCATATTAAGATATTGTCCTTAGTCATTAATAATAGATCAAGTTTCCTCTTAAAGAAATCCTGGTATGTCACTTGGACTAGCTTAGCCGGCAGCGAATTCCAGCATTTGAATGCTTTTAAGGAGTATAAGTTGTGTCTGCAAACCGTACCGCTGTGCTGCCCCTAGTTTCTGGGTGCTACCCCTTAGGTTTGTGTTGGAGCTAAACTTAAGTAGGTGTTGAGTAGCAGTTTCAATTTGTAAAGGACAGGAGGTCAGTTTGCCAGTGTTAGTCCTGGTAGTGATGGTCTCTCACTTGATACAGCTTTCTTTTGAAGGGTCGACAAATGGAGCTTCAATCACGTGTTGAAATAATGAATTCCATTTGTCGATGGTTCGATGGGAAGTTCAATAATCAGCTGACAAGTAAATTGTTCTAGGCTTGAAGGCTATTGAGGAGTGTCCTTGCAACTTCTCTGTTTTGGAAGGCAAGAAGCGTTTTAGATGCAAGTTTATCATTGAGTAATTTAAGAACTGTGATCAAGTCGCCTCTGGTTCTTCTATATGACAACCGAAATAGGTTGAGTTCAGCCAATTGAACATCATTTAAGGGCTGCAATTAAACGCAACTTAATTTCGTAAATGTGCCCTTCAGCTTAGCAACCAATCAGAATGAGGCGGGAATTATTACATCCGCCATCTTTGTAAGCAATGGCGTCGGCTTTCTTCGTTCTGTGCTTCTTTCAGCTATTTCTTTTGTGTAGCTATGTAATTTAATGTCTCAGTGTGCTAAAATGTCGCAGTTAGTGTAATGTTCTATATGTTGGTGTGAAGTTTATTTCGAATCAGCGATGTTTTCTGGGTTTTTACTGCTTCTACTCAAGTCAATGTATTTCTTCGGGCAATCTGGCTAGTCTTGTGTTATAAAATGTCGGCCGGCCTTCTTCGTTCTGTGTTTTTTCCGCTATTTCTTTTGTGTAGCTACAGAATTTGATGTTTCAGTGTGCTAAAATCCAGAAGTTAGTGTAATACTCTGAACGTTGGAGCAAAATTTTTCCTGATTTTGCTTTGTTTTCTGGGTTTTACCTGCTGCTAATTAAGTCACTGTATTTATTCAGCTAAGCTGGCTAGTACTAACATAAGACCTTACGTTTTTAAACGACAATCGGTTATGTTTTACCTTGTTTTCTAGATATCCGAAGCCGTAGTTCGTTTTTATTTAGCTAAAATAATTGTTGCTGCCGCCTGTGACTTTAACTGTTCGCATGTTCGTTCCTAACAGTCCTTTATGATGTTATCGGCAAAATGAATGGAAACAATCTGCGTTTTGTAATTTTCTTCAGTATTATGGACAACACTATCCCACCAACGAGTCAAACTAATACAGAGTGCCCAGCAGTAGGGTATATCGGTACGGATTTCGAAAAGACCCAGACTTCCGACAACTAGAGATGAAGTCACAGATGCTACTAATCTATTTCAGAGGGTTTGTTCTGAAAAATATGCCATATAACAGTAATAGAGTGGTTGTAATCATTATGCAGTGTGTTAAAGCAAGCTTAACATTGAAAAGCCGGAAATCTGCTACCAGTGTCTAGTGTATGTTTGCTGTTTTGGCCATAAAAGGAAGCCGAAGGGTCATGATCAGGGAGTAAAAAGGTGATTAACTGTTATTAAGCTCACTTTTTTTTTAGATCATATATCACCACTCGCAAATTTGTGTTTTCTTACGGTATGATGTCAACTGATACCTAATATGTTCACCCTTACGATGAAAAGTACCTGCAAATTTTCACCTTCATATTTGAATTATTTTTGCACAATTGTCTTACAGTCCGAGTGCTTTGTACGCCCCGAGAAACTCTATTTCTACAACATTCGTAGTTCCAGTATAACTTTCTCACTCAGTAAGTTCAAATTAGACACTAGTCTTCCTAAATAATCCTGCTAAGCTGATATCCGTATTCTCTTTTTTAGTTAATCGATGAAGACATGTACCACGTGCATCTGCTGTATACTGCCATTTTACTCCAATTCTAACTGTTATATCTTACTTTTGAATAATAAAATTGCTATATGCTGCGAATACAGACTTATTTGTTTTGATGGAGATAGGGGGGTTCATGGGATTTTCAGCAGGACCGTATTAATATTCTCACTAAAGAGCTAAGCGAGTGCGTAAACCAGTGTAAGGTACCGTACGGGGTGCATTTGAGTTACTAGTGTTCCATTAGTGCGGGTAGGGGCATTGCTTGCTTGTCATTTGAATTAGAAGCTATAAGATAAGACGCAGGTACGGTTAGGATGTGTAACGCGTGTCCATCCATCAGCTGCCGTGACAACCCATGGTGGTTAGAATAATCTATGAGAGGACCTGAGTCTGTAGGTCTCCCAAAAATGGCGAAGATATGCACCAAATCACCTTATGAAGAGCGCCTCCAATGACTTAACCTCTACTCATTAGAGTATAGACATCTTAGAGGTGACCTAATGGCTTACAATAACCTTAACACTTCTGGACATCCCCTAAAACACCTAATTAAGCTTAGTTCCAACACTAATCTAAGAGGTAACACCCAGAAACTAGAGACACAACATAGCAGAACGAACTGTAGGCACAACTTCTACTCCTTAAGAGTTGTCAAGTGCTGGAATTTTCTGCCGCTCGAGCTAGTCCAAGCGACTTCCCAGGAGTCCTTTAAGAGGCAACTGGATCTATTCTTAAGGACTAAAAATAGTATCATACTATGACTTACCAATTTCTTTTTCCTCTTTTATTGTTAACATACCTAGTTTCCTGCCTTGAGGTATTGGTGATCCCTTGCTACTAGACACGGAATCCTGTTAAGCGAAAGCTTCTATTCAGTCCACAACCATTTGAACACATGAACCAGGTGCTGAGAGGCTCGCTTATCACAAGTTTCTTGCAACGATTAAGTAGATAAAACAAAGTAGCATTAGATTCAAAAAATTATTCAAGAACTTTCATTAAGAATCGAATATCAAACAAAGGTTTAAACCAAGTTCCCGTTTAAAAGTTGTATTGGTAATGTTAAGCTGCAGTTTTTGTTGTTTTTTTCCAAACGAAAGAGTCAAAAAATACTGGAAGTGGTTGTGAGACTAAAATGGAAGTCCAGCATCCTTTTTATAATCTGCTGTTCGTTGGGTCGCCCGTAAACAGTTCCATAAGGCCATAGTTCCAAGGGCGAAACAGTTTTTAGGGCCTGTGAAGGCTCACTCCTGTTGCATTCTAAATGAAAAAATATTGATGAATTTAGTCAGAAATGTGGAATAGATAAATAACCAGATCACATATTGTTTAGCAAAGAACTTATGCAGTTGTGATTTGCCTTGAGTTCGTGAATATTAGATAAGGTCAGCTACTATTACTTGCGCAAAGCATAACATGGGCTTAGTACCGTATTGCAATGCTTTTATTATTTTGCTCCCATTTAAGTATTCCCATGCATCTGCGTCTAGTTTAACAGGAAAACATACAAGCAGAGTTAGTGTCTGATAAACTAAAAGTCCCAGTTGTCAAAAAGATTCCTAACATTTGTCCACAGCCAGCTGCATTTAATTGAGACACAGAACACTCATCTTCTAAAACTGTATACTGCTGTTTTGCGGGCAACTAAAAGCTCAGAGACTTAGCTATCTTGCTATCGATGTTATTGCTGGGGAAATTGTTTAATGACAGTGATAATGAAATATGGTCAGTGATAGATGTACAGTTTCGAAATAAACACCAAACATACTTATCGCTGTCTTATAATGTATGACAGCAACAGCATCAAAGGCACGTTTTTTCCTATTTTTAATCAGACTGATCTGAATCCGTATACACAGTGGAAACAGGCAACTCTACTTACTAAACTGATCTGTTTCGTTACAGGCTTCAAGCACTATACTTAAGTATATCATAATTCTTTCAACTAAACTGAATTATACGACAACCAAGAACACTAAACTAAGCAAGTGTCATAGTTATTGTTTCACTTGCAAAGACATGTTGCTCAAAGTAGTTAAATGGACATTTTTCAGCCGATAAAACCAAAACACGAAATATAGGCCAGTTGAACTTACCTAAGAAAAAAAGAAGGATACATATATACTGCTTTCATACTGAAGACAACAGGCAGTTGTTCATAGAAACATAGTTCACAGTACAACAAAACTTTCTTCAGTAAAATCATGCACTGACAGTCTATCTGGAAACAACCAACTATGTGAATAAACTTAATATGACTTGAGATATAATCCCAGCGTGCAATGGACATACAGTGTAACGCAGTCGGACGTGGCGAATAAAAATTAAAAACAGAGCAAAATTAACAACATAATCTAGTTATTTAATTAAAAATACATTATGAAATGACAAAATCTGTGGTTACTTGAACGCACAAATGACAGTGTGCGATACATTAAGTTTACATGGTTGCGTTGCGGATAAGATCACCCTCATTTAAGAGCTGTGCTAATCCGGGAATCGACTTAGTTGCAGTTCTTTGAACGTTTTTCTACTGCCCACTGTCAGATTTTAGGCAGGCGCTAGCCGTTCGCATACAGTAATCAAGTTTAGGACAAACGAATACCGTATACGAAGTCGAAAAAGTTTTAGCATCGGCATGAGTAACGGCCGTGCGTGTTGACCATAAGATCCTAAAACCTTTGGCGGCTGTTGCACGGCAATGTGCATTAGTTCTTAAGTATTGGCTAATGAGGACTTCTAATTCAGTATGTCTGGAAAACTGTGATTAACCGTGTATATCTTACCTCGATGACCAATATGCATCATAATGGATTTGGAAGCATCTACGGGCAACTTCCAAATCTAAGACTTATCAGATAATTTTTTCAGATCATTTCAAAGCCCCAAACTATTACCTCTACTTTTTATCTCTCTCCATATCTTGACACCGTCAGTACACAACAAAACCAATGGTGTTAGGACTAGTTTGAGGATAATTGAGATTTGCCACTATTGTTATCTGCTAGTGATGTATTACTACTGTCTCCGCATAATGATTAAACATCTCTTCTTGGCCCATTGGTTTACATACTCGTATAAGCGTTCAGATTATCCTATAGACTCTCTAACAAGTTTTTCTTCGTAAGTCTTTTTGGACTTGTGGAGTGTCGAAGTATTTCGAGCTTTCCGATATTGGTCACTATCCAGTAACCAGAATTTCTCCCACATTCTGCCCTTACGGGGTGGGGTGCAGACCTCCCTACTGAACTACAGTGGGGAGTTTCTCAGTCACTGTTTGGAGGACTAGCTTTTATTTGAAGACACTAGGTCATTTTCTCTTCTTGGTCTGCACCTATTCATCAACTTAGATTGGAGTAGCAATCACAGACACGTCACACACACTGTAGGATCCTGAATGGTACTTGATGACTTGAGTTTTAAGGTTGTTGTTTGTCGTGCTAGAAGCAAGCCTAGTTTTGATACTAGGTTTTTTAGGCGTTTCCTTCTCTCTGAAATTTTGAGGGCAGGTACAGAAGAAAGACTTCCTTTCTTGGGCTTTTGTTTCTAACAGGCCTCTACATAGGCTGTCTGTTATAACGCTCGGTTTTACTTCTTCCAATGTTATAACGGTTGGGTTTCCTCATTTACATATATAGGACGTTAATTTACCCTCCCAGTGTCTATTATACAGGATGTCAACACAATTCAGACCAAGAACACGTGATTAGCCTGACCATAATGTAAATATATTTCCACACCGAAACCCGACACAATCCAACAACAATGAACAATCAATAATAAGTGAGTTGTAGTAATAATAATAATAAGGACAGGGGAATATATAACTCGTCTGACACCTGTCAGACTAACTACATGTCTGACTAAGCAGACAACCAATCGTAATCATTATCGCCCACACTTCATTGTCTTTTCTCCGTTGACCTGTGCATGTCAATAGACTTGTTTGATGTAACTTCACAGTGATTTGTGTATCGACCAAGCAAGTTTCTTTTGATGTGTCCCGAATGCGCTTGCCAGTGCTCCTTTAAGTAGCATTCACCATTGCAATGGCTTTGAAAAGAAAGCTGTTAGCATCCGGGAGCATTGCTGACAAAACCACACGCAACTCTGTTTACTAAACCGCTTGGAAGTCAAAGGCGTTTGACCGTAGAATTATGGTTTACTATGACATAAGAACTGCCCTTATAATAGACCTAGTTCTAAAATTGCAGATTTGTCATGATGTAACTGCCTAATCTATAAGATCTTACGCCGAAGTGACATCATTTTCTACACTGACTCATCGTGTCGCAACAATTACTAATATATGATGGTAGACAAATTCTGGCTAGAGATAGAACAATTTATTTGATATGAGTAACAACGAGTTGTATCGAGCGACCATGCCTGTGAGGTTAAGTCATATCATCCGATAAATTCGAATTGATTTAATCCATTCTTCCCTCCTTCTCCATCGTTGAATTTTTCTCCGCGTTAAAGGTTGAATGCCTATTTTCCCAGTTGTCTGCTATTCAGCTCTGAGGATTGTGTGGTTAGGGCACAATGACACTACAAAACTAATGCAAACTTTGCAGTATCATCTATTGCACTCATTACACCAAACGCCGCTTTCCACAGGGTATCAAAAGAATGAGCTTTGGTATTTGCTGTTTTGCATTGTCCAGTTAAATAATCAGAGTTCTTCTAAAAGAAGCTAGACACGAACAATACCTAAAAACAGAATGAACTGATGACCAGAAAAAAGTAAAAAACTAGATTGTAAGAACCATAAGTGCAAACAAATACAGAAAACCGATGTACTCAAGAGTACAGATGGTAACTTATTTTTGAAAAAAAGATACCGTTGGTGAATGATTCAACTGAAATAAATTCAGTTAAAACGACAACTGTAGTATTGACGAGCAATAAATGATCAAAACAATAAGAATACCACTGTCCTCTTTAAATAGAGCATTTTTCAGTCCATTTCAAGTTTTAAGTTTCAGTTAGTCCTATATCTTCGTGTTACACGAAATGTGAAGTTATTGTTTTGTACTAAGTTTAATAGTGACTTTTATCAAGCAAAGTGGATAATAATACTCTCTCTGACATGTATTTATAGACTTTCTCCTTATTATCATAGTAAAACAGCCATCTTTGGTAGCTTTGACGTTTGTAATCTAGCTGTGTTTCGTCACCCATTTACCAGATTTTTGCTTCCATTTTACACGTATATGTGGACAAAACCCATATGTTCCTGGGGATACGTATCTGCACAAGGATGGTTTTAATGTGATTAAGACATATATCAGTGTAATGGTATATTTTACGAAAGTGATGCGAATTATCTAAGCATAAGCACTGATGTTCTACTGTCTGAGACTTAACGCTCGTGTGAGACTGTCTAACTTTCTGTGGAAAGATGACAAGGTTCTAACAATCCGTTAGGAATAACCATCAGCACGTATATTGGTACTCAAGTTGTTCCACTATTCGGTGGAACCTCAAAAGCTGAGGAAAGGAGGGAAATGAGCTGTTTTTTAAGTCTCTGAATGGCAATCATGATGAATCCGAACTGCGATAGGCGAGCTGAACAGCTCCTAACATTATCATCGAAAGTCTTTCAAGTGATCAGGTGAGAGAGCACATGGGAATATACAATCATCCACTATGCCCAATATCGTCAAATGAGACTTATCTCCTTTATTCTGACAGATACCGGCTTAAGCTATCCATTCGTTCTGCGAAACGAGATAAATGGGAGGACGAATTGATATGTAAAACAGAGAGAGAAAAGAAGTAGTAAATGAAATGAATGAGTTTCGAATTACCTTAAATTTTTCTTGGCGCGACTGTGTCGAGTGCTTGTGCGATACACCAACGACAAATGAACTGGTAATGGTTGAAAGAACCCATAAACACTGAGAGACGACCACGAGAATTCAGCAAGCTTATTTGTCTTTAGTAGTCCTTTTGTAGTACATAGTACCTAGTTGAAAGCCTCATGATGCAATTATTACGAAGCGGAGTAAATTACAAAGATAATGGTAAATACATACACACCAAATAATCGCACGGACATAAAAATTGGATCAATAAAATGAATTAATTATGTATATGTAACTGATGCAATTCCAAGATGCACCAAGTATTCAAAAGTTGAAGTAACCAAACTGATACTCCATTTGGAAAATCTCAAAACTGTCCCTTTTTTCCTGATCATTAAATGCCCCTAACTGAAAATCTTTCCCGGCCGAAGTGACTGCACCGCTTTTACTAGTTAGCTCCAAGAGGAGACTTGTAAGACATATATGTAATATCATCTCCCACATGGGCTAGCAGTACCTGATCCATTTCTCCTAGCCTGTCCACTGTCATGGTCACTACATATCATCAACTTTTCCCCACCTGATTTCTATATTTCAAGTCCGTACATTTTTGTCGCCTTATACTGTCCACTTTAACAATTAATTAACTTATTTATGTACTTACTGCTTACAACAATCGTCTTCTCATAGCATTCGGGTTATCACCTTATTATTTTTTAAATTGAGGTGGATCACGCGTTTGCCTAGCAATGCAATGGCTATTGGTTCTGGAAACCTTAATGCATCGTGATAGATTGTTACGAAATATAGAAGCCAGAAAGTAACTATCATATCGTAGGAAACGAGATGACCTTACTTTGGCATCCTGTATCTTTCTATAACGATTAATGGTGTTAATATCTATTGTCTTCCTGCTCCCTTCAACAATACTAATCTTCGATGCAATAGCAAGAAGATCCAAAAACTGCAACCTAATAAACTCAGAGTGGGGCTCCTTTTTTATAATCACCTAGTCAATGACTGGAACGTCATACTCCTACAAGTGATATTATACTGATCAGTGAACGTTTTCAAGGAGAATCTGAACTTCTATTTGAAAGCAAACTATGAAGATTAACACATGTCCACCAACTTGTTCATATTTGTGAAGACTGAAGACGAAATCTGATTACAATTAACACAACGGAGTTGCTAGCATTCTGATCATTGGATAATAAAATGAAATTTGACATGTACTAATGCAACAGAAAAACAATCGTAAAGAAATCAATCGATTCATACAATCTCGAGATATTGGATACTGGATTTTGGCACGCGAGTGAATCGATTTCCCAAGGTTACTCACTATGCTTAGTTTCGAGGATGTGCGCGTGTTTACAGCAACTCAGTCTCTAGGATCCAAACGACTAACCTTCGGTCCACATCACCTCACATTTCAGTTGCGCGATTCCGACGTTATGGTAAGTTAGCGTTTCAAGTGTTGAAGTGAGAGACTGAAACATGTTTTATTAAGGTTGAATCATTACTTGTTTATGTCGAACTAAACACCATACAGTGTAATGACGAAACTTTCCGTAAAAGTTTGATCTGGTTGTATGAAAAATATTTTTCAACTTCACCCAAGCAAATAGAAACGACATTCTATGAAGAATTTTCATGCGAATCTGAGAGAAAATGCTCCAGAATGTCGCCTTCATCACCTGCTCTGGCAGACAGTGAGAATTTCCCTACAATTACTTCTGGTTAAAAACATCCGAAATCACTTGTTTACTTCAAGTGGTCTTCCCATTCAAATCTGCACTAGGTTATTTGCTCCTCATTATTTTTAAGACAGTCTACTTCTAACCTAGATCTACACAAATTAGCTTCACTTCCGCCAAATAGTCTACTTTTGACCTAAAACTGCTTTAAGTAGTTTTAAGACCAAATAACTACTTTGCTGAGGAAATTAACGTTTGTATTCAGTTAACGTGTTAAAGGAATGGATCTCGTACCGAATGACATTGATTAAGACAAATTTTAGTTTCAGTTTGCGAAAATATTGTTTAAACCAGCGTCCAAGCCACACGTTTCCGTCGTAATCAACATGATTATCTACGGAAATCTGTAGTTTATTTTAAAAAATTGTATTTTTTATAATGTCTTTTTCAAACAAAATACTACTTCATATAGACTTTTAGCACTTACGTCTTATTTGTCTCAATAGGACAGATTCTAGTAAGAATGTTGGTGTTAATACTTTTCGATTTCAGAATAAGAAGTTTCATGAATATCTACCTCTAGGTCTCGCATCCCTGTTGTTATTATGGGGAATAATTTTCCCCAGTTTAATTTTGAAGTAGAATAACGATTTCTTTGAACTAACAGTCTTGTTGAAGATATATCTTCAACCCTTCTAGTTCCTCTTCAGTTGACAGAGAGAAGTGGAACTGCGATAATCCTGCACGCAGATTGTTAGACACGCTATCGACTGTTGCATTTTTTTAGAAATGGACGTCGTCAGCCGTACTTTGGCAGACAAGTCGGATACGACATTTACAAGAGTTAATGAAATGTCATGCAGTTTAGTGAACCTTTAGGACTAAAAGCAATTTCACACATAATTTACTCGACATCAGTTCCACTTCTAATAGGCTTTAATTAACATCATTTTGATGAAATTAATGATGAGTGACCATCTGACTGTCAGACATTCTGGTTGTGTTTTGGATGTTTTTAGAATCAGCACTTGATTTACATAAAGATTATTGGAGTACTCTGAGAATATGTACCAATGTTGAACTGAGACTCATCAGTAGTCATGTCATCACTACCTCGGGTTACTAATGTAGTGAAGAAATTGATTAATTAATGTGTAGAGCTATCCAATAAGAACCTTGAATATATGGATAAAATTATTACAGCCATTGGTAAATCTATGCCACTTCGCTCTGAACTTAGTGCTTCAAAATCCCAACGAATTGTGTTGCATCTTAGATGATGTCTCTGAAAAATAAGGGGATGTGGATTATTCCTGCTTTACTTAGGACCCGTGGTTAGAACAACCTACCATGTTATGCCGTCACGGAGATCGTCTGAAAGTAAAGCATATCCCCTAGAATTCCAAATTAGGACCTCAGTGTTTGTACAGAATTGTCGGACTAATCTTCACCGATAGATAGAATGAGACATAACGAAAAGATAGGGGGTGTTATATGAGTCGTCTGTAGCAAAAGGCAAATGGATTCGATATTTTAGATCAGTCATTTAGAAGAACTACTCCTAATTCCACTACTACTATAAGAATGCAACTAGATATTTTGCCCAACACTCATGAAGAAATTAAAGCATTATGAACACCAGAGCCAGATTTTCGGTGAAGAAGACGGGCATTCGATGCCAAACGACTTCATACAAAAACAAAAGATACTGTATGACCAAATACGTGTGCAAAAGAAAACTAATCTTAAGGCAATTTTTACTCGGTAAACTCAACACATTTTCATGAATTCTTGTCATTAATTTTCATTGTATGTCAGTTTTATTTAGTTACTTGATTTTCAATGCATTTTCCTTGTACTGGGCACTTCATTATAGATTTGTATGTACTGGCAATTACTCAGTTAATAAAACTGTGTAATTAGTTATCACTCAATTGATATGTAACTGATTTAACTTGAATGTAAATTCAGCCATTCTTTAGTTTTGTTCAATAAATCTAAACAGGATTAATCTTTCAGGTCTCCGGGGGACTGTGGTTAGTAGAGCTGTTGTGTATCGCAGTTGTCATTAGAGTCGTCTCCATGTAAGTTTTTGTCTTTAAGTGCAAAATATCGTCCAAGGCCTAATGTGTATCACTGCGTAGTTTAACAGTAGGAGGGTGAAGTATTGAACATAACCACTTGGCTTATCTTGTAAGTCTTACAGACCTTGGAGACCGATGAATTCTCGGTACTGTTGTTCTACCTTATTTGGGTTTTGTAAACGTGTTACCTATGATGTAGATGATGTGTTTGTCCGTCGACCAAAGAGTGGGTATTCTGATATGAAGTCCATCCATTGCTTTGTGGCTGTGAAAAATGACCTTTATAGGTAGGTGACACTCGGCACTTGATTATATATGTCTGCAAAGCGTTGTCTGCGTCTAATGATTTCTATACAGTGAATTGAAATCGGTGAATTCTAGCATAATATACGTCTATGATCTGAATTATGTTCTATAGTCCATTGTTTACATGATTTATCCTTTTTCTCCAAGTAATTACTTCTTATTATCTTTTGACTTGTCTATAATTTTTCTTTTATTTCGTAAAGATTATGTACAGAGCAATTGACGGGTTTCGCTTGTGCGAATCACCTACTGAACGTCGATTCACACCATCCGTACTAACTGGATATACGATTGTTTTGTATACAAAAGATTTTCATATTTATGAATTAACTGTTAACAGTCTTTCTGTTGCTCGTTCTCTTGAACAGTCATTAGAGCGAGTATCCTCAATTGGTAAGTATTTTGCTTCTTATTTATAACCTCAACTACTTATGTTTTTATTAATAGTTCTTTTTGAATTTTTCTTTAGCTCTCTGTTTTATTTTATTTCATTTATAGCTTATTAAACTATTGGTTGAACAAAACACAGAAAGATAGAACGAGACCATATTAACTTATAAATGAATATAAATTACGTGTAATGAACGAAACAGTTAATCGTACGTCACCTATAATCTGCCGCATATATGTAGTGGTTCAACTTGCCTCATCATATCAGGACAGCGAGATAAAATTACGAAAAAATGTTTGGGTAGTAGAATTACTAGTAATAGTAGTAGTACTGAAAATGACTACATATTGGCTATTGTGACATTCTGAGCCATATTACCTAACATCTCCAACGATTGATTGCATTGATCAAGCTAACCCCAACTAGGTAGTCTGTACCTGTTAGCATGCCACAAGATACCAAAACAGATGTTATTCTGTTAAGGAAGTCCAAATTATCTTACGAAGAATGTAATAGAAAACTGTAGTGAAGTAATCACTTGCTTCCATTCTAAGTCATGTTTGATAATGTTTTAAGCTCTACCACTGGAACCAGGGATTTTTTATGAACTTAGTCTTATACAACTACCTCTCATCCCACTACCTTATTTCATAATACGACGATCTTTCCGTGATATCAGTTAAATTATCTTTACTTCACTTGAACACGTTACTGGACCTCGGTATTGTTTGCACTGTGGTGCTATCGGATCTTAGTAGTCCTCCTGATATATCAATAATTGAATTCGTTGCTTTTAAATTACTGCTTATCATTCTCGATTACTGGCAGCGAAATATAGACTTAATTAAAACACGTTCCGTGTAGGATTATGTTGGGGCACGCTGATTGTCTATCTCTTAGCTAATCAACGCTAGAGATAAGAATAGCTAGGTCGTATAAGTGGAGATCATAACAATTATCAGTAGTTGAAGATTGTTTCACTGCGGCTTAAATGATTGCTGTTGATTGTTGTATATGTTGAACAAGTGGGTTTGTGATTGCAGATACTTTTTAATGTTGACTATCTCCATCTACCATCTTAGATCAATCTGTAAATGTTTTTAAAGGTTTTCTATCCCTTATATTTTTTCTGATAGATGACGTAACATTGCTTTACCCATTCTCTTATAAATCCAACCAATTATCACTTTTACCCGCAATAAAAACCACTGATTGGCCTAATAATATCAACGAGATCTTGTCTGGTGGGAGTTGGCGTAGAAGCCAATTAAATGAGAATTATTTAGTAAGTAGTATTTTGTTTTCTTTGTAGTACATCTTACCGTGAAGTATTTTCTTAATATTGTATTTTATGTATAGCATTAGGACAGTTTTTTGTGCTTAGTTGAATGCTCTGTAGGGAGTTATTTTTCCAGTGAGTGGCTGATTGGTAGAGTCTGTACGAAACTCAACGACTTAGGCTTTACGTTGGCTACGACTGACTGGCTAGGAGTCGAATATTGTATTGACACTCAATTTGAGGGACCTAAAAGGAAACTGGATTAGTAGTATTCTTGACAATTCGGTGTCGTGGTCACGAAGTTCAAGAGACAACCGTTTGGGCCCAATCACACGCAGCTTTTTTGTGAATAGTCTTAGGTAAGCTAGCGCTTTACTTACAGCCCTTGGTGTTGGCAGCGGGAGTCCATGGGGCAAAGTAAGGTATGCTGTCCTTGGGATCAACCTTTTCTAACCCATTTTTACTCTGTGAGTGAGAAGGCAGTATCATTTCAGATGCTGGCTGTCTGGATGAACACCTTACTTCTATTACATCCCTGTCCAAACGACAGTACGACCTCGTTTTTAGGCCTTTGTTACTTCTATTCTCACTGCTTCCCCACTGACCTACCTGGAATGGTTGGGCTTAAAAAAACAGTCGTCTCAAGCAATATAGTTCGATTGTGTTGTTATGATAGACGGGCCTGACCACTCCGTCAAGCTAGCATCTGCAGTCGGGCAATGAAGTTATTAATGTGAACCATTGCTTGGTAACTCAATAGTCTAAAGATTGGGCATCCTACCCGAAGCCAGAAAGTTTGATTCGTCGACGGTTGCTTGCGTGCACTGCTGAAGAGTCCAATCGTGTGACGAAACAGTCATTCAGTGCTTCATGGTTTTCATTAATGTTCTATTTAAAGTTTGTTTGTGATACGAACTACATGCATTATTATTTCCATGACCGCTTTGCATTCATTTTATTCATCTTTCCCATTCTAGTTGTGCAATTCTTATCCGAAAACATTTGTTGTACCTGTTAAATGTGATGATCAAATGATTAAAGAAAGTAGCCGATTTCGTCATGGTGGTCGTTTTCCTCTACTGTTATACTATCATAAACCAAGACAAGTATGAGCCAGTTATGTACACATTTTCATTTTTTGTTAGTTGTAACTTTGTGTTATAATTCATTTATTAAGTATGAATTTCTTTTTTCTAGGTATTCGGCTTTGATCCACATTGTTGTTGTATGTTGAAAACCTATAGAGATACTACTCACTGCTTCCATAAACCGAAATAAGTGAAGTAATTTGGGTTTTCGGTGAATTTGTTCGAGTGATTCGTTCACCAGTCTACTTCTCCTTGTGTCTGTCACGAGGTCACATTTTATATTTCGTACAGTTTATTATAGGATTGCTTAATGTATAGTTCCAGTGTCTTAACTCTACTATTGGGATCTATAATGTCTTCGTGAACAAAGTTCAACTTTAGTTAGGATTGTTTTTTAGTCTTTAATAAACTCGTGATATAAGAGTACTTACTTTCCATTATCATTCATGTGTTAATTGCATCATTACAGGGCGCTTTGTATAGTCCACTTGTCATATGACTTCATTCGAAGCTATATATAACCTTTTTTGTTGTTATTCTTCTAGGTAGTATTCAATGATATAACTTTGAAATGTCAACAAATGATCTGTTTTGGCATTGAAATAAGCGAACATTCATCATTCTCATCATAGTAGTACACTTAGTGTTTTTTGTAGATGTCTTTTTTCAACCTGTACGTTCTTGTATAGCTCCCAGTCAGTAGTTCAAGTATCTTATTGTCGCTTACATAGTTCATTCAATGAACATCCAAGTTGGGGTCATTTCTATGAAATTTGGAGTACTTCAATCTAATCTTCTTTAGAATACTTCTCGTTTGTGACAATACACTTGTTCTGTCTGTTTGTATTGTTTTGAATGTTTTCTAAAGTCAATCTTGATATTATGCTCGTTGAACTATGATTCGTCACTAGTGAATATTCCAGAAAAAAAAATCGGATTTTTGAGAGACGCCCAATTTTACTCAACTTTCAGTTCAGTTTCAACAACTCTTGGGAGATTTTCGTACATTTTTCTCAACTTAAAATATTCTGATTGAAATCATGAACTGGCATAGGTTAGACAACCATCACGTGGCAGTACTCGATAACCGTTTCATCCTGATATGAGACTCCTTAGCAGTACCCATTGACAACCCCACAAGCGGAAATCAAACCTAGGACCTCCGTTAACGGGCGCAAAACGTTCACTTGTAGCTCACATCTAGACCAAATAATTTGCCGAAATGATATACATAGACAGGTTATTCGAAATAAAATTTATCGATAATCATTCAGATAATAAATCCTCTGATCGAATTACACAAGAAATCGTAGTAGGTTGATGATTGTCCATAATTAACAGTATCAATCATCTAATTTATTTATTAAGAGAACTGTTCATATAGTTTTGATTTTCCATAATAAATTGTATTTTCTTCCGTTAGTATGTGTGATATATCTGTATATAAACGTTCGGTTCCACTAAATGATTTCAATACCTGATTCCAATCACTTGTTACCTATTTTTCTTTAACACTAGTGGTTAGTAGAGTAAATTTCTTTACGGATTTAAATTAGAGTTTATTTTTTATGTAGTGGACTCGAGAATGTCTTATTCTGTGCTTTCTAATGCTGTCGGTATTTGTTTTAGGCCTTGAATCCGATGGGTGTCACTTCAAGTACTAGTGTGTTATCTATTAAACTACTAATCCTAGAGAACCACTAAATTGTTAAACATTACTATCTACAACTCAGAGTGTTGGTTTAGTGGTAAATGTGTTTAGCTTTCAGTCGTTAAGTCCTGGGTTTTGACCCCGCTCTGTCCACTTCGGTTCAGGCAACCGGCTAGTATCATTAGCTCTCACACTTCGAGTGTGGCTACCTGATTTAATCAAATTGAAGTAAAAAGAAACCTGTAATGATAAAACAATATCTAGACGGTTGTTCAAAGAACCCATATTTCAACAGAGACTGACCAGATTTCAATAGACAGCCACTGAATAACTTTTATGCTTGATTCCAATCACTTGGTACCTCTTTTTCTAATCTATCTTTTAGACTACTTTATTAATAACTGCTGAACCATTAATTAATCAATCCACAATTACCAACAATCAAAATACTTCAAATTTATTATCATCGTCTAATTCTAGTTTAACTTCATCAACAAAATCGAATAATTTAATGATTAATTCATCTTCAAAAAATTCCATATCACCATTTAGTTCAACATTCAATACTGGTCGATGTCGTTCAGATGAACAATTACTTACTTGTATATTACCAGATAAATGTAGAGGTGTTATATTGGATTTAAGAACACAGAATGAAACAAAAAAACCCCAAGCAACAAGTGAGTTATGTTGTTGTAGTGATATTATGCAGTTTTCAAGAGTTATTACCATTACACAGTCAAACTATATACATGAACCCAACCGGTAATTCGAGTAAAAAAACAACTGAGAATGAGAAAGTTTATTGACTAAACTGAATGGGCATATATGTATACTCATTCATAGATATATCTCTTTGTTCCCTAGAAAATTAGACCATTAATGGTGAATCTTATTCCTTAGAAATGAAAGTCATTTCTTGACCAATCACGTGCATTTGTCATCTGGTCGATTTTTGACTGGCCCAATCTATCAATTATTTTGTTCGTTGTTAATCTTTTTAACATCCCTAAATGCCCTGGTAAGGCCGAGAGTAGGGGAGAGTCCGCTTTCCCTCTCGAAATGCCAGGGAAGTCCTACTCACTGGTGTTGTTTACGAAATTAAGAAGACAAAATGCGAATATCCGGCGCTTTAACCGGGTTGGTGGACACAGAGAGTCCACCTACGGGAGTTGGAAAACCCTGATTCCAAGCCAATAGTGCACATGGGCTCCAGTATCCTGAAGGAACAAATGGTTTATGAACCAATTGTTGGTCACCGGCTTTCATGGGACCGCATCTCCTTACGATGCTCCACTGCCTTGCGGATCAGACCTTCAGGTCGGGGGCTTCGGTAGTGGCCCCCTAAGAAAACCACCTGCTTCGGTTGGGCACCCGGGCAGTATCACAGCCCTCACACATATCAAATGAGATTTGTGTGGCGCATATGTGTCTTTTTAACACTGTTGGTTAGTAGAGTAAATTTCTTTATAGATTTAAATTAGAGTTTATTTTTTATGTAGTGGACTCGACAATGTCTTATTCTGTGCTCATCACTTCAACATATCTGCTTTCTAATGCTGTCGGTATTTGTTTTAGGCCTTGAATCCGATGGGTGTCACTTCAAGTACTAGTGTGTTATCTATTAAACTACTAATCCTAGAGAACCACTAAATTGTTAAACATTACTATCTACAACTCAGAGTGTTGGTTTAGTGGTAAATGTGTTTAGCTTTCAGTCGTTAAGTCCTGGGTTTTGACCCCGCTCTGTCCACTTCGGTTCAGGCAACCGGCTAGTATCATTAGCTCTCACACTTCGAGTGTGGCTACCTGATTTAATCAAATTGAAGTAAAAAGAAACCTGTAATGACAAAACAATATCTAGACGGTTGTTCAAAGAACCCATATTTCAACAGAGACTGACCAGATTTCAATGGACAGCCAGAACAAATGAGTAATTAATCACTGTATTAAAAAGAACTGTAATTTTTGTGAGAAATTTTAATTAGGTCAGGTTGTGTAACGTTGTACGTTCAGTTTTTTCTTTCATTACAATATTATAAAATTATATTTCTTCAATTATAAATAACTCCGCCTGTATCTCTTCTAGAGTTACCGCTGGTCCCAAGCCCGGGTAAAGGAGGAGGGTTGGACATGGGGTCGTCAACCCCATCCGGTAGAAGAAAATTTTGCTAAACAAACTCCAACCAGACTAAACAGATTGAATCATTCAAACTCTGCCCTGGGAGTTGAAGGAAGAGTTATGACGCTTCGTGATGAATGCCGGGATTCTTCGGAAGTCATGAGGCCGATGCCCCTTCTAACAACCAGAGCAACAATTTGCATCAGTAAAAAATCCACAAGGTCAATGGAAGACGTGCGAACCAGGAAAGGAGCTGATATAGCTTCAGATTGTCACCTGGTTGTGACCAAGACGAAACTGAAGCTAAAGAAACATTCGACAACTAGAGAAACAGCATTAAAAACTTTCAATACAGTCTTCCTTCGACGTACTGATAAGCTCGACGAATTCAAGATAACTCTCAACAGCAGGTTCTAAGAATTACAAGATCTACTCAAAGAAGAAGAAACTTCTATGGAGGACCACTAGAGAGGGATAAAGAGGCATTAATTTCAACGTGTCAGGAGGTGCTGGGCTGCAACAAGCATCATCATACGGAATGGATCTCTATCGAAACCCTGGACAAGATTCAAGAAAGGGAGAACAAGAAGACAGCAATTAACAACAGCCGAACAATAACAGAGAAAATCAAAGCACAATCTAAATACACAGAAGCAAAGAAGCAGAGGAAGAGCGTTAGAGTCGACAAGCGGAAATACGTGGAAGAGCTAGCAACGATAGCGGAAGAAGCTGCAAGTGAAGGAAATATGAAACAACTAAATGGCACGAAGAAAAAACTGGTAGAGAAATATAGTAAACCAGCGAGATCGGTTGAGTACAAAGGGGGCAAGCCAATCACTGAAATTCAAGGGCAGGAACAGATGGGTAGAACAATTTGATGAACTCTTGAATAGACCAGCTCTAATAAATCCACCGGATATCGAAGCAGCACACACAGACCTTCCTATAGATGTCACTCCACCAACGATCCAGGGAACCAGGATGACCATCAGACAAATGACGAATGGGAAAGTAGCAGGACCTGACAATATACCAGCTGAAGCACTAAAGTCAGACATAGAAGTAACAGCAAACATGCTCTACACTCTTCAAGAAGGTTTGGAGGGAGGTACAAATGCAGACAGACCTGAAAGAAGAATACCTCATCAAGATACAAAAGAAAGATCTGAGCAAATGTGAGAACTACAGAGGTATCACAATACTGTCAGTACCAGGAAACGTTTTCAACAGTGTTGCTGAACCGGATGTAAGACTCAGCAGACGTCCAACTTCGAGACCAATGGGCTGGATTCCGTAAGGATCGGTCATGCACAGACCAAATTGCGACACTACGGATCATCGTTAAATAATCAATTCAGTGGAACTCGTTACCATACTTCAATCTCATCGAACATGAGAAAGCATTTGACAGTGTGAGTAGAAGACCATGGAAACTTCTTCGAGACTACAGAGTTCATAAGAAGATCGTCAAGATCATTCGGAATTCATACGACGGACTAGACTACGACGTCGTGCATGGAGGACAACTGACAGATGCGTTCCAAGTGAGGACCGGAGACAGACAAGGCTGCTTACTCTCTTCCTTTCTCTTTCTTCTGGTGGTTGAATGGATTATGGAGACCTCGACATCTGAAGGAAAGCAAGGAATAACAAGGATGACCTGGCCCTTCTATCCCATGCACATCAACAAATAGTGTATCAGCAGCCTCTGCATCAGTATGCTTCAACATACACAAAGGAAAAAGCAAGATCCTCAAATACAACACAAAAAACACAAACCTGGGAGCTATCGAAGATGTAGAATCTTTCACGTATCTGTGTAGCATCATCGATGAACGTGAAGGATCTGATACAGACGTAAAGGCGAGGATCGGTAAAGCAAGGGCCACATTCCTACAACTGAACAACATATTGAGCCCGAAACAACTGTCAACCTACATCACAGTCAGAATCCTCAATACGAACGTCAAGACAGTCCTACTGTACGAGGCTGAAACGTGGAGAACTACTACAACTGTCATCAAAATGGTACAAGTATTTATAAACAGTTGTCTATGTAAGATACTCAATATTCGTTGGCTGGATACCATCAGCAACAGCCTACCGTGGGTGAAGACAAACCGGCTTCCAGCTGAAGAGGAAATTAGGAAAAGACGTTGGAAGTGCATAGAACATACATTGTGGAAATCACTAAATTGCATTACGAGGCAAGCGCTAACCTGGAATCCTGAAGGGAAACGGAAAAGAGGAAGGCCGAGGAACACACTACGTTGGGAATTGGAAACAGACGTGAAAAGAATGAATAATAACTAGACAGAACTGGGAAGGATTGCCCAGGACAGAGTTGGATGGAGAATGCTAGCAAGGAAGTCAATTATAAACAATCTTACTGGCGTATATGTGGTTTTAGTGAAGGCTTGACGACGATTTCATCTGATAATGGAGCGTCTTAGCAGTACATAATCACTGCCCTATCTGAGATTGAATCTAGGACCTTCAGTTCTTACTTCGAGCTGGGACGTACTCTCAAACCACTGAATCCACTCAATCTACGTTGTAGCACGACAGTAAACTGATCCGGTCGATAGTGACTAACCCTTTCCCATTGTGGTTGGATTTCATCTGTCACAATCATCCACTGGTAGTGTAGGAACTCATCTTAAAGTTAGACATTATTATCCATATGCTTTTATTTTGGTGATTGATATCCAGTCTGTGATGAATAACAACCTATAAATTAAACTAATCTCCACAGATCTGTCAACCATTCAATTTGTTCGTTAGTTTTTCATGTTAGAAATTTGCATTATTGACAATGAAATAAAATCCAATTAACATTAACCTCTTTTAACCCCTTTTCTCCTTTCCAGGTGGTGTTGTTGAATTTGAACAATATTATCCACAATGGAGACGAGTTTGTAGACCGTTAGAATCTACGGGTAACTTGATTGTCACTTTCAGGAAATTCATTTATGGTAAGATGTTTTTTTAGCTCGTTTATGTATTTCTATGTGTTTTGACCATTAATTTTTTCTTCCTTGGCAAATAGTCGTTTTGCTGATTCTGTCTGGGAATAATTGTGACGACTTAGCTTAAGTTTGACTAACGGTCTATAAAATTTTGGACTTGACAACCGTACTACTCTACTACTGCTAGGATAATAAAAAACAATTAACGTTGAGAACATTATTCTACGAGACGAAATGAAACGATATGCATGAAGAATAGTTAGACTGAAGATTCAGAGGAAGATGAAGAGTGGATTCATCTGCCTCACTGTTACTGATTTTCAGCCGTGTCACCAAACGTCGCTAATTACTAATCGACATCATCGTACAGATCACTACCAGGTAGTCTGCAAATACCTATATGATTCAGATCAACTTTCAACGTCTTCATGGACTGATGTCACGTTTCAGTTTGTTCACCTAATAGCTTTTTCCCAATCTATTCCTATACCAGACAACATTCGTCGAGGTAGGCGGTGGTTGGGGATATCTGTAACATGTCCCAACCACGGTTGATATAAATTCACAACCTCATAACCAAACTTATCTGTTTGCCTAGTACTCTATGCACAACTTCAGCATTGCTAATGCAGTTGTTCGATGATTCGCGAGCATAGCTTCTAAGACAATAATGATTAAAAAATCCTACAGCCTACGCAATTCTTTGGTATTCATAGGGAAATATAACACATGTCCCAACCGAAATAATCGATTTTCATTGTACAGCTGACCACAGTTAGATGTTCTCCTTAGTCATGAAATATTTTTACCTTTTAAGACATTTTTTATATCCCAGAAATCAATATACATTGAACGAAATATTGTTGTTTGTTGAGCGTGTGAACAACACATGCCTTCTTTATTGACTAATCTTAAAGTATTATTGCAGTTTTTAGAGTTATAAAACACCTTGATAGTGTTTAAACTATTCTGTTTTATTCTAATCAATAAAAGCTTGTACATCATATGGTCGTGTAACTCGATCTTCAAGCAACACAACATTTGGTGCACTTCAATCCGGAATTAGTGATTCTATTGGAATGTTGTCCAGTGCTGCATTGAATCCAATAGGAAGTTTTGGATCACGTAACTCCACGGCTGCATCGATCCCATGTGACAATTCAGTCAATTCATTTAATGATATCACTGTTCATGAACAAATAAATACATCGAGTAAAAATGAATTGATCTCGAATTTCGCTCAACTAGATATTCAGTCTACTAATTCAACTACTGAATCTGATTTAAGTAGTAATAATAATATAAAGAAATCAAAAAAACTTTCAGCTTGGTTATCATTAGTTCGTGAAGCGTTAGCAGCTGCTGTTGCTGGAGCAACAGCTTTGGACGCTTTGGATGCATTCGCTCAACAACAACTTCAACAAGAACAATGTTTGTTAGCTGAAAAACAGAGAAGAGCATCAAAGGAGCAAAGTTTCGAAGAGGCAAAATTACGTGGATCATGTGTATTAGTGCAAAGCCGAAAAGGAACTGATCGAGCTATTCTCGTGGCTAGTTTGATTCAAATCATATTAAATCCTGAGTCTAGAACTATACAGGGGTAATTGGGGTTAGCTTGTTTGGAGGGGTTTTTCTCGTAGTACTGTTTACAGTATAATTTTCAGTTTATACTATTCTCTGTGAATTGTAACAGCTGAAAATAATTCACTATCCCTAGTTTACATTAATTTTCAGTTCAGTATATACAAGTTTCATTCTTCCTACTCATAACAAGTTGGTAGTGGCATTTATATCATAACAGTCTCGAGAAGTTGAAGTATCTGTTCAGTACAAAACGTCAGCTATTTTATGTAAAAGTTGTTTGTGAAAATCCATTCACTGTATTTTCTCTGAGTTAGAGATAGTTGAACAGTAGTTTTTTAGATCTTTGGTTTTTCATCAATTAATGGGTAATATTGGATTGTAATTGGCGGGATAAAATTACAGCTTTTCTTAAAAAAATCAACTATTGATAAGCTCAACCCTCGTTGCACAAGCCAATGGCTCTCTGGGCTTAGTAGTAGTAGCTCCCCGGATAATGCGATAGACATTTGAAACGAAAGATACTGGGTTCGAGTCCTGATATATACATCGGAACTGGGATGTCCATACGTCCAACTGATGGGTCCCTATTAGGACGAAACACAACCCGGAGTTTACTGCTAACCATTTTCCAACTTTATATAAAAACATAACTTAATGCTAATATCGAGGTAATTCACCCAGGATACGTGTATAAAAAAAAGAATAATCGAAATTTAACTTCTAGCATCATTAACGGGAAGATTCAATCTCTTACAAACAAGTAGTACAATACAAACCAACGATTGGTTGTCTGTTCACTGTTTCTCAAGGAGAAACACTTTCTTCCGATGCGAGAAGATAGTGAGTAGGACTTACCTGGCAGTGGCTGTATACCTGGAGCGCCCGCGTGGTAGGCGAGCATTCTACCATTGAATCACCGACGCGATGTTCTAGGTTCTACAGCACATATGACTAATGCATCTGTATGACTTAATGTTCTAACCATGAGACATGAATATTGTAGGTTTGTTCGTTTTGGGAGTCTTTGGTGACCACCACTGAGGATGAAACAACTAAGGTATACCATATGGATTTATGATGCTGAGATTAAAACAATCAACTGAAAACCTTAGTGCACTAGACACCTGTTTCTTCTTAGTACGGGACTGACTCTTTGATCTCACCAGGGGTCAGACCTAGGATCTTTAAGACTAGTGGAGTCTCTTAACCTTCAGATCACTTAGTCGTCATTTATTGGTTTACATCTTTAACTTAAGTATATTAATGATATTACGTGACTATCATTTGAATCCTTGTGAGATCGTGGGTACATATTACTGATTAGTCCCGTACTAGCATGTACCAGGTATCTAATACTTCCTGCTTTTTATTTGTGGTCTAATGAAGGCTGGTTCATGATATGAAACTTCAAATACTAATACATTTTGATTAACTGTCATCTTTTTTCGTTTAATCGTGTTGCGTTCACAACTATTTAGATTTCAAGAACTTATCGACCATACATGGTTAAACGCCGGACATCCATTTGCAGATCGTTGTCAAAATTCCGCTTTCTCTCTTAAACCACCAAAAGATGAGAGTCCAGTGTTTATTCTATTTTTGGATTGTGTTTGGCAAGTAGGTGCGTTTTTTTTTTATTTTGAAAAGATTTTTTAGTAAAATTGAATTTGCTCCATGTGTTGCATCAGTAACTCTTACTTTTAATCATAATTCTATCCCCAATTCTAAATCTAGTCTTAACTCAATCTTATTTGTTAATTCTATCGAAGCGTTCAATTATAGGATTAAGATACATGTGAAACCAAAGTTAAAAAAGAAACAACAATTATCTAAAATAAATGGTTCTATTATTAAGGAATAATGCATAAATTAGTTACTAACTTGAACTCTTGAGATATCTGCAGTAATTAACTCGTGGGTATGTTTGGAAAGCGAAAGAATTCCTTTATTAATAACATAAAGGGTGATTAAAACATATGATAGAGTAAATGATACCTGTGTCTAATGTTAAAAACTTAGTAACAATTGGGACTGGATCTCCTAACATTACTCTACTGCCTTGTGGATTAGACCTTTAGGTCAAAGGCTCCGACTGTAGCCCCCCAAGAAAATCCCTTGTTTCGATTTGGGCGCCCGGACAGTATTCCAGCCCTCACATAAATTGAATGATAAAGTGTGGTACATATATATTTGGTGCATTCTCATACCAATGTCTATGTGTTTAAATAAACAAATATTTCGGTTTGAAGATTCGTGTAGTATCACTAGTCCTCATATTTAGATTGTAACTTCAAGCCAAATCCTATGAATCTGTACGTGATGAATGGGTTTCTATCAACATTTATACTAGTTAATTATGAGATGCAGACTACTTGGTTGGAGTCCGTGTGACTATCGTAACCAATGGTTGGAGACTCTTGGTGATATGGCTCAGAATCGATCACAATGGCGTAGGTGTGTACACTCTCTATCATCCCTTAAACTAAGAGATTAAAATCGCTTCATATCTTTCTTTCTACTAACTAATTCCTTCTTCCTGTACTATATCCTTATTGCAATCTTTCTTTTATATATTACCACCTCTGAATTAACTACTTTTATGAATCCGGTGTTCGTCTTGTTGTGTTAATGAGGTATGGCAACTTGGACAGATGCATATATGTGACTGGTCCTACGTTGTAGCTGACTGACTGACTAGTTAAGTATATGTTAAATGAGATATGTCATTCTAATCAAACTATCTTCTGTTTCCTTATGATGAATAATGTTATTGTTATATACTCATTTACTGACTCTTTTTTTTTCTCATTTTGTTTTTCTTTAGTTACTTCGTCAATATCCGAATTCATTTGAATTCACTGATGAACTGCTTTGTATTATTGCAAAACATGCTTATTTCTCTGAATACGGTGAGGATTAGTTACATTATTATTGTTGATGTATTCATTGTAATAATTCGCTTTTCGTCCACTCATTTTCGTAAACAACACCCTCGCCACGAGAAGGCAGTGAGTAGGACTTCCCTAGCAGAGGCTGTATACGCGTGGCCGTGTGAGAGCATTTCGAGAGGGAGGGAAGGCCCACCCCACTCTCGGCCATACCAGGGCATATGGGTGCTTTAACCGGATCCCAAACCAATGGTGCACATGGGCTACAGTATCCTGAAGGAACAAATGGCGTATGAAACAATCGTTGGTCACCGGCTACCGTGGGACCGCATCTCTTCACGATGCTCCACTGCCTTGTGGATTAGACCTTTAGGTCAAATGCTCGGGGTGTGGCCCCCTAAGAATGTGAGTTCACCTCCTTATTGCCAACTTATCACTACATTCAGCTACTAACCATTGAAAGTTGATTTTTCTATAGTCCAGTCAATAAATATGCGTAATCGAGCCATAAAAGCTTTAAAAAATTTGATCACAGTTTATAAGAAAAGCCTCTCGCTACTCAGTTTAGTTAGCTGATTTAAAGTTTTTGTTCCCGAAATACAAAGTGGTCATGAAAGAGAACAACATGCATGTCAAGATGATACAACATGAAATAACAATAGAGCGATTGAAAAAATCAACTAACGTTTAGCAGACTAGTTGAAGTTAGACATTAACACCGCTGGATGCCGACCGGCTCAGTGACTTGGTGGTTAAGCGCTCGCGTGCTAGACCGATAGGGTTCGTGTCCCGCGAGGCGGGGTCGTGGATGCGCACTTCTGAGGAGTCCCACAATAAGAAGTAACGGCCGTTCAGTGACTCTAGGTTTTCCATGGTGATCTAACCTCAATTGACTCATGATCTCAACTATTGAGTTTACTACAATCTCCACAAAACCCCTTCTGAAACTGAAGTTTCATCAATTTTATTTATTCTGAACTATTTCTCAATTGTGACAATAAATATATTCGTCTCATGTATCTTCGTTTCCTTATTACACTATCGAAATTTATCAAATGGACTAATTACTTTAAATGTCTCATATATGTTTGAATTATTCAAAATATCACTGAAAGTTTCTACTTGTTAGGGATTTCCAAATGTTTGGTTATAGTCTGATCATATGAACAAACTATATTTCCTCGACTTCAGTTCATTATGAATTACAGAGATAGTGAATCAGATACCGAATGGTATAAGAAATCATTCCATGTTTTCATCAGTTCATTAGATTTACAATCATTCTGCATCATCTCTGTGAATAGCCTCCGTTGAAATACTCATTTACTCATTCTCTCAGTTCAATGTAACTCATTTCGTGGGTTGATTACAGTCGTATGCTACAATTTAATTTTCCTCGGTTTTTTTCTTCTTCTTGAAGGTACATTTTTGGGCAATTCTTCACAAGAAAGAGAACAATTGGATATTTCATCTAGAACATTTTCTTTATGGTAAGTTAATTGCCAAGTGAATAGTGCAAACTGTTCAATGAAAGTTGTTGATATAGTAGATCAATTCAAAATCACCAAATATTTAGGAGTATGTGATTGGTTGAGAAATGATTTTCCTTTTCTAAGGAATATGCCTAATTTTTGAGGGGAGTGTATATACCATCTATTCAGCTTAGCCAGATAAACTTTCTTCCTCATTTGTGTTTTTTCTCAGGGTAACTGAGCTTGTGTACTTGAAGAGTACGTATCATTATCAGCTTTCGGACATCGCGCATCACAACAGTTTCCTTCCTCCTCACAGACTATATGAGTGGTGTATCTAAATGACCGATTATTGAACACCAGTAATGAATAAGTCAATTGATTCCATGGTTTAGTCTGTCACATTATGGCTATAGATCTTACTGTCTTGTATCTTGTAGTGGTTTTATTTGCAATATAGAAGAAAATCTTCCCAATGATCTTCCAGACGTCGGTTATGTTTGTGGCCACGCGTGTATAGCCTCTGCCAAGGAAGTCCTACTCACTGCCTTCTCGCACCATGGGTATTGTTTACAAAATTGAGAGGACGAAAAGCGAATATCCGGCGCTTTAACCGGGTTGGTGGACACAGAGACTCCACCTAGGGGAGTTGGAAAACCCTCATTCCAAACCAATGGTGCACATGGGCTACAGAATCCTGAAGGAGCGAATGGCGTATGAACCAATCGTTGGTCACCGGCTACCATGGGACTGCATTTCCTTATGATGTTCCACTGCCTTGTGGATCAGACCTTCATGTCGAAGGCTCCGAGTGTGGCCCCCTAAGAAAACCACCTGCTTCGGTTTGGACACCCGAGCAGTATCACAGCCCTCACACAAATCAAATGAGGTTTGTGTGGCGCATATATATTTGGTGCCTCCTTGTGCCAGTATTTACGTGTTAAAATAAATAATAAAATATGTTTGTGTTACTACCATACCATACGTATTTCAGATTACAACTGTTCATTCTTGTTGAGATGTTTTGATTTTTGTTTTTCTAATCTACAATTAACTCATGACGATCGTCTGAATATCCATCATCTCTCCTATACACACTTGGTTTTTATAGGATCAGATATAAAACCCTCGTTAAATAATTTTTTATTCTCAATCCGTAAAGGATATAATTTGAGCAAACTGATTTTTAGCGTAAAACAGGTATTTTATTAGCGTTGTTGGTTAGAAATTATTTCAAACTTAACTTTTTTGTACGCATAATTGGATATTGGCTAGAATCTATGGACACCTCAGTGTCCATGTGCATATCGAGACTCGGATCCAATATCTGTCCTTTCAAACACCCGTCGCGTTATCTACTGAGCTACTGAGTTCCTACAACAATTGGCATGTGCAACAGGATTGAATTTTATTTCATTTGTGGAGGTTGTTTAAATTTTCATGCTAATGTTAATGATAAGCCAGTGGTTATTTGGACTCAATAGCTAAGTGGATAACACGTTAGGCGTCTAAAGAGAAACATGCTTGACTTGAGTCCCCATGTGAACATCAGATTTGGATTACTGGTGCATCCAGTTGACAAGTCACAAGTACGACAGGACGGCCATACTGTACTCCACTGTTAACGACTATCCAACTATACTTAATAGTAATATCGAGGCTATCCACACTGGATGCACACCGGCCAAAACAAACTGATTATTTGTTGGGTTTATCATCAACGGTATGATTCAAGCAATCCTCACAAATCAATTGAACTTCCTATTTCTAATTATTTTTCTCAGTCTACTTATTTTTATCATTGTAATTGTAAAGGGTGTGTTTTTTAAGTATAATAGTTTATAATTATTAGTGGTTGAAATGAATTGTGTTATTTCGTTGTTTAGTCGTTCACTAATCTTTTCTCATTTATCAAAGGTCGAGTTTAATGAGCAGTAGTTTGTTCTGTTCTACTTTATGGTTATAAAGTATCCTTTAAAGGAATAAAGCATATTTGTAGGCTATTAGTATTCGGTCATAGGTATCTTTGAAGCATGGCTCGTGCATTTCGGGACCACTAATTGAACAATGTCGAGGTTAAACTCAGGGTAGTAAGTGAGGGTGGCAAACAGATTGGTGAGGTAGTGAATCTTGATCAACTGAGGTGGTCTAAACATACATTACGTATGTGTAACCGCTACCTACCTTGTCGTTTGATGTTTATAAATATAGAAGTAGGTTGGGAAGAAAATAGGGGCTACCAAGACGTGTCAACAGTAAATGTAGTCATTCACCATTGAACTGATGTGTTTAGGTAAATCCATAGTATGTGATGTAGATCCGGATGGCTGTCGTAATCAATGGTTGGGGATGTTGCGTTATATTGTTGAGACTCAGTCACAATGCCATATATATATATTCACTCTATTGTCCTTTAGATGTTGTTTTTCGTTCCCTGAATTCACTTTTACGGAATCATCTCTGGTCGCTATGTTTTTTTATTGTCCCTACCGAGACTGTTATTACTTCTATTCTAGGAATTGTAATGATCTTTTTCAGTCCTGATATGGTGTAGCATTTTGAACTGATTCACAAATATCCCAAGTTCCATATTATTTGTGTGTATTGTCCTTCCAGACGTAGACATATAATCACTGTCATTTCTATCGTCAGTGTTTTTATAATGTCAAAATATATTATTAGTGTGTTTTTTAATCTTTTCCTAAGGTCATACATCAATCAACCATTTGTGACTAGTCGTTTACAGAATCCATTTTATTCTGGTGAAAAAAATGATGATAATTCTCAATCAACAACCATAATTGATGGGAGTTATGCATGTTGGCCTTGTTTATCTGCACAAGCATTAGTGAGTAAATTGATTGTTAATTTGATACAACTGCTAAGAGAAAGTTCATAAGTCATCAGCTATTAACCGCTTGATTCCATATTTTGTGTGTTTGTAGGTTGCAGTGTTGTTTTAAATCCATTATCAGTCAAAAGCAACTTAGAACTGGTTACATATGTCCATCTATCGAAGTTGCCCACATTGCACATCAGCCCAGCGTGAGATTAACACCAAATTAGAAGTGTTTAGAATCCATAAATTGTGGTTATCACAATAAGTTGTAATATGGTGACTGTATTAAGTCAGTCATCACAGGATATTCACATATCAACAAAGATCGATAAAGATTCAGTCCCTAATACTTTCGACAGGATAACTCCGAACCCCTCCTACTAATGATACAAAGTAGTATTAGTAGTAGTATCAGTGACAATAAAGATTAGACATACATAATATGATTAAAGGAAGAGTTAATACTCAGAATGTAAGGTATGAAATAGTTTTAAAACTCAATATTTAAGGGGAAATAAACAAATTAATACACCTGGCCTGTTGTGAGCCATGCTGTCAACCAAAGTGTCTAACTATTGGACTAGTGACACCACATACTTACTTAAACATAAGTAAGTATTGAATCGGTATTGAAATCTACAATTTAGTGGTGTCAAAAACGCCTGGACCCCCCCTGGGGCTACTACCGGCCCCAAGTCCGGATAAAGGAGGGGGGTTGGGCATGGGGTTAGCGAATTCATCTCGTAGATAACTAATTCGCTAAAAAACGCTAACCAAAACATTTAAACTCTACCCTAGGAGGTAGAAGGTCTTCATTTAGAAGAGTTATGACGCCTCATGATTAAAGCAGAGTTCCTTCGGAAGTCACGAAGCTGATGCCCCTTCTGACAACCAGAACAACCATTGATGTGGGTATATGGAATGCTCGTACCATGTGAAGACCGAGAGAGTCATCCATATTGCTGCAGTTTCAGTGAAGTACCCTATTCATTGATTTTTGGTTATGCTCAGTTGTGTAGATTATTTAGCAGTACATTTTCTCTTTGTAATATTCTCTCTTTCTTGTTCAGAAGGCTTTGTAAATAACTATTTGACTTGTCTATTCAATTTTTTGAAGGATATCTGGGAAGAACTATATCAGCATCAATTAGTAGGTATTAATCCTAGTCTATGGAATTTGCCTCGGGTTATGGCACGTGTAATTAAGGACAAATTTGAAGCGGAACGGAATAGAACTATTCAATTACGCAAGTAATTTATTTGTTTATCTACTGTTGTGAGAACTAATAAATAGTTTGATCTTATCATTCTAGACTTGGATACTGAACGTCAAACAGGTTCGAATGTTATAGGGTAGTATCAGTTCCTTCATAATTGTAGATGTATTTATATCCCGAGCTTAACACTAACTATCTCGAACACATATATATTCTGGAACACTACTGATCTAGTCAGAGCTTTATGGCAAACTATCACTGGAACTTATAACTTCAAGTAGTGTTCGTCAGATCTGTTAGCTTTCCATATTTTTATCTAACTTTGATCATAGACATTGTTTTAGAGATAAAATGTCGAAGTGGATGCATTAGCTCTTTGTTTTCCCTTAGATCTTAATTTTCTAAGTCACCTTATAAATTCTTCTTCATCACGCCCATCCATATTTTCTCCTCAAATTGTATCTTCAATGCCTAGTCTTTTCTATTATCATTAATACTGTTACCACATCTGCTGCCCTTGAATTTGCCCTGGCAATTTCATTTCATCGTGCTAGTGAAGGTGGTAACATTAAAGGATGTATGTGTGTCCCACGTTCTACGTTTTGTGCGATTGAATAACTGGACTGCGCCTGGAGCTTTTCTCAGGTTATTGTTGGTCCTTAGCCCCAAGTGAAAGAGGGTGGGTTAGGTATTAGGTTAGCAACGTCATCTTATAAAAGAGAACTTGATTGAAAAGTGTCAACCAGGAAAAATCATTTAGAGCTTTTGAACTCTATCCCTAAGAGTTAAAGGATCTTCATTTAGAAAGGTTATGACAATTCCTGGTGAAAGTCGAGATTCTTCGGGATTTATGGTGTTGATGCACTTTCTGACAACCAGAGGAATAATATGGAATGTCCGGACAATGTAGAAGGTTAACAGCACTATTCGTGGTTTTGTCAAATTACATCGTGTTGTACACTTTGTAATCAAAGATTTCAGCTACATTTTCATTAAAATTGTCGATCGTAAAAGTCTTTTTATTTCAACAAAACAAAACTATCCTTTTTTAGGACATAAGCATATGACCATCAATCCTAGTACCGTTGTACTTGGCATTGTATGACTGAACTGGCTCATATTACCTTTACCCTTACGAAAAATGTTATTCCTATGAGAGGTATATGTACATATAAGTATGCGTTTGTAGAGATTGTCTATTTTTATTGAGATCATAAATTGATCCGAATTAGAAAACCATTGAAAACATTGAAGCACCAAACGACTGTTTCCTCTTAATATGAGACTTTTCATCAGTGACCATCTGCGGCACGACGATTGAAAGTCGAATCCAGGACCTTCAACCTCTCATGAAAACTCTTAACTTCTAGAGCACTGGGTAGGGATCCATTCGTGTGCAAGTATGACTTTAACCATTTCACCATTTTGTGCAATTCTCTTCCATTGTCTCAGATGGGTACTTTTCTCTTAAGTTAGACTTGTGCAACATTGGATGCCAGCTCAGCGGTCTAGATGTGAAGCGTTGCTTGTAATATTTTACGTAATGCGTGTACTGTGTAAACCAGCTGTTTATAGTTTGGTGTGTTTTTACATTCATTTGTGTTTCTGAATTGTAGTTTTGTGTGATTAATAATATTTGTGGCATCAAATGCGATTAATTGATCTAAACCTTGTACTTATCGACGCTCGTAAGCAAAGTGTATATTTACAAACTGTGAGAGGTTGGCACAACATGAGAGTCAGTAAATTCCCTCACGATCACCAATACAATTTGCTTATAAGTTTCAGGGCTTTTTAGAGACTACCCCTAATCATACAAATCAAAACATTGAGCTGAAGAGTTAACACGATAAATAAATGAAACGCAAAGTGCTCTTTAACTGGTCTAACACTTCTACCTTAAGTTTGTGCTGATATGATGTCGTTCAGAAGAACGATGAAAGCTCCACGACCAAACCATCCAGCTCAGAGAACAAAACTCCATCTAACGCTTCTCTCCTAACGATCGTTGATCCTTAAGCTTGACTATTGAAAAAAACAAAGGTAAGCTACGCTGGCGAATTCGAAGAGAAAATGCATAGTAAGTATCTAAATTTTGTTTGATGTTTTCTCATGAATCAGCCATTTTAAATGCTACATTCACACATGACTCACGAATTCAGAAAATAAGTTTTTGACTACTCTAGGTAGGCTTCTCGATTAACAATCCCCTTCTCAATATATACATATATCGTATTACTTCAAATAAATACTTTCTTCATAGTGTAATTCACGAGTCGATCTTAACTAAACAATCATCGGAAATTCTGGAAGCCTTGAACTGTTGTTTCGTCCTAATATGAAAATCCTCATCAGTGCACATCTATGATCCCACATGTGGGACTCAGACCCATGACCTTCGGTCACGTACGCACTATCAATTAGTCCTATACTAGAACGAAACACCTATCCAATACTTCCAGGTTTTCAGTAGTTGTCTACTTTAGATCGACTTACGAATTCAACTATGAAATTCCTACCATCTCCTCCACAAATCTCCTTATACTGAAAATATTTTTTCTTGTTTTATTTTTGCATAATATAGAACACTTGACCAACTTATGAATGAAGCTATCAATGCAGGTATTCTTCATGTAAATCAATAAACTTAATTTTTTTTGATAACTTATTCAACTTCATACTTAATTTGTTTACTATGTAATATAATTTATTGATATTTTCTATACTATTTATTTATAAATAAGTAGTATGATTATATTGTAAATGACTATTGAATAATCTCTTCATCATTTATTTTGTTTTAAATCACTACATTAATCTTTCAAACAATAAACTAATGAACAAATGAGTTGCTATGGTGTTCATTTAATATAATGACCGTGATATTGTATTCATAATATTTTGATATTTAGTATTCTAAATGATAATTATTATTTCACTGGTTGAAATCATGATTGAATCGAAGCTAGACCACAATTCAAAACCTGGAAGCACTGGACGGCCGTTTCGTTCTAGTTTGGGACTCCTCAACAGTGCGCATCCATGGTCCCAAACCCCGCGAGATTCGAACCCAGGACGCAGCTTCGTGGATTGGTTGAAGTTAGACATAAACACCGTTGGATGCCGGCTCAGTGATCTAGTTGGTTAGGTGCCTGGTGCGAGACTGACAGGTCCTGGGTTCGAATCTCGCGGGGTGCGGGTTCACGGATGCGCACTGCTGAGGAGTCTCGTACTAAGACGAAACTGCCGTCCAGTGTTTCCAGGTTTTCCATGGTGATCTAGCTTCAATTGACTCATGATCTCAACCAATGAAATTTCTAAAAATCTTCACAAAACCCATTCTGATGATAATTATTATGTTGTGCTATATACGAAAATTTATGTGCCTTGTGAGTGAGACTATAATAATTTATGGACGATCTTTGTACGACACTAAACGTAACTTGAGAGTGTCCATCTAATAACTAGAACTAAATTAGAGTTATAAAACATTGTAAGGGATTAGAATTATGATTTACAGTTGATAGTTAGGATTAAGAATTAGGATTTAAGGTTTTCATCGCGAACTGACATCAGTTGTTATAATGCTAAAACTTAATTTATCCAAATGGATGGATGAATTTCGCGCCAAAATCTGAGACCTTTTATCTTATACATGATTGATTCGTTCATAAATTATAGCCTCATCGCCTTGTGATTTGGTTTTGGTTATACTGTCAATAATTTGTATTGTTTTACATAATATGTAACATATCTTCAACTTGTATTCATTGCAATATATATATGAGAGGGTAGTTTAGAGATTGTTAAGTTTCACACCACCGGCTGTTTATAGATGGATAACCATTAATAATCAAGAAGAGTTTATTATTTGATCCACTCTATTATGTGACTCATTAATAGTTCTTATCCACCACTCAAAAAACTCCATTTTATACATAAGAAGTCGTTTATAGTTCAACGATTGAGCAACTATTGTTCACATGTGATGTATATTCTCAAAGAAAATACTGTACATCTTCATAGTGTGAGGAGATTGAGGTACATGCTAAGGATGATGTCAAATATCTTATCCTAAACAATTAATATTAATCAACTGATGCGATGCGTGTAAAGTTCTGAAGGATATTTGTTCATGAAACAGTGCACAATCATCAAGTCAATGATTACTCGTCTAGTCAGTATAGAAAAGTACAGGTTTGTTGACCAAGATTTCAGAGATATTAGAAGCTGTTTGTTGAAAATCACAAACATAATCCTTTAGTCAAATGTAACATAATGTTTCTCTCAATATTCTGAAATTGACTTCCGACTGATATTTTTGACAGACAGTGATTAAAATGCCGATCTATGAGGTACAAAGTTAACCCAGCTCAGAATGCAACAGACATCTACAGATGATAGATCAATGTGACGCCGTATCGAAAGAATTCATTCAAGACAATGATCGGAGTTGAGAGTGAACATCAGTCAATATGGAAATATAGACTGCCACAATGTGATATGGTCACCAAAGTAATCTAAACAACTAGAAATCTTTACCTAACTTTAAGTAGCATCGAGGTCGATAGTAATGAGCGAATTGTAAATGAACACTTCAGGTGGTTGGGTGACGAATCGAAAACTTTCGTACGATGCACTTCGATGTCTACTACTTTGTGATGTGAATGATATTACTGGATAGTGTTTTATAGTGGTCGACCGAAAATTTTAATGCATTAAGTTTACTTGAGAATGTATCAAAAATGTGTTATTCTTTGCATTAACTACTACTATTATTTCTTTTGCTTACCTAAAAGTCCTAATCGCCACTTTTCATAACTTATATCCTTTCCAAACATCATGTGACGAAATCTCAATCACAACATCGATTTCTTATTTTTATACCTGAGCTAACCAATGATATGCCAACTAGTACCAGTAGTCTTGAGTCAACTCTTGTTCCTCATTGGTCATCTATATAGTAGCTTCTTACCTCACCTTGTTTGCCCTGACTGTTCAGTCCAGAACATAATATCAACCTTCACTATATTAATTATATATTTCGAACATACGCTGTTTATATTTAAGTACACCGGACCGAATTTCACCATAAAATAAAAAAATAGAAACTATACGAGATTTTACTGACCCAGAATCTGATTCCAGTTATATCATAGGTTTGATTGAAATATACCTATCATCAATCCTCGTATATAGTTAACGACTTAAATCGCGTTAATGAATAACGGAATTGAATAAATCAAATACGAGAATGGATTTCTGAATACATTTATTTTGTACATTCATTGATCGGAACAGACAATCAGGGAATCGCAGCGAATGAAGCTAAGAAAAGTGAGCGAAGCGAAATGAAAGGATGCGCAGTGGAAATGTCGTGTGAGACAACTCCATGTAAACAAGTGGTAATCAATATTTATAGTCACAGAAATGTGATGATTAGGATAAGAAGTGTACACAAATATACGCTCACATAAAAACAATCAGGTTTGGTAAGTGAATAATCAACGGTATTGAAACGTGACTCAAGAAGAATAGATAAACTGAACTGTCCAGAAGCTAGAATAAGTTACATGTGCTTCACATAGTAACCGACACTACAAAATCAAGCCAAAAGTGGCTGCATATGGGAACTGTAGCCAATAGCTTGGAAATAAGGATTTGTTCTTATTCCATTAGGTTTCCATCAGATGCTCTGCGGCCACCTTGGACGTGTTGTCAACTCGTACTTATTTCCTGGATTCCTTTTAATTTCCTTATCCAATTTAGTTGGTATATTTTGGGGTATAACCACGTGTATATCATTTTCAGTCTCCCCTCTTGTTTAGTCGCCATTTCTTCAACTTCATAAATGATCTTCCTTCTCTGCGTATTACAGTTCCAGTCTTCCAAACCCATGGGAATCTTTTGTCATTACCATTTGCGTTAGCCATCAAAGAATAATTTAATGGGTGTCGTAATATATCCATATAAGGTACAAAATACAATAATATCTAATCATTCCCAGAAATCAACTCAGCATCGTAACATCCGTCAGTCTAGACATGTCTTTGATATCGTTGATACTATCTGGATCTGGGTGACGACCATTCTTATCAAATATATGTTCAAGTTGTCTAACAGGCTCGACCTGGTATTCGGACTTTTCTTTTTGGAAATGGAAACCAGTCTGCGACATTTTTGTAAGCACAACGTCCAATAGATTCATTATTTCCTGTGTGGGGCCCTTTATTTTGTCGTCATTTTATATCAAGCGATGTTGTCGAAAGGGCTCGGGCCACTAAAGTCGAGAGCCCTTTCGACAACATCGCTTGATATAAAATGACGACAAAATAAATGGCCTCACAAAAGTGGTGAGCCCGACGTGATGAGTAATGGGATAAGAAATGTACACACACCTACGTGCTCATATAAAAACAGTCAAGATTGATAAATAACAAGGTCAGAATGTGACTCAAGTAGAATGAATAGAATGGGCTGTCCAAAAGCTAGAATAATGTATATGGGCTTAACATAATAACTGACGCTACATCTGAGCAGTAGAACTAACAACTAGATGTCATCCAGGTAGACTGCTACATCTTCCAGGTTGCATGTCATAGTATCCATTATTTGCTGAAAATGGGATTCACATCTTGTCGTAAGTATGATTTTACCTTCCCAATTTCGCAGTGTTTCAACTTGTTTTGGAACTATTTTATGTTTCCTGAAAAGGTCTTCTCTCGTTATGGCTTTTTTAGTTACATGAACGGATAGGCAGATCTCTAGGACTATTTGAGCTTTTCATGGTAAATAATTCAGTCAATGGTACATCCCATAGATTTTGTATGTTTATCTAATCTATACCAATAAGGTCCAAATCATGTTTGTTTGTTAAATGACAATTTCCCGTAAAGTAGCTATCTCAGAATTCAACAGAGCATTTTATTGTTCCGAAAAAGCTTTAATATGTCTCTGGTTGCATTTCGAACTGTGTACTCGGTTGATAATACTTATGAACAACCCTTTATATTCCGTGTCATTTTAGAGAATAACGTGATATCTGATGCTGTATCCAATTGTAATTGAATATGAACACTGATACCCCATAATTTCAAATACCTTTCTTTATCCGCTATACTTAGAAGGGAGGGAGCACCGAATACTTATTCACCACATAATAGCAATGGGGTTGTGAAGAGTTAGAAAATGTAAAGTGCGTATACTTAAAAAAAGGGTGAACAACAATGAATAGAAGTTAGTGTATAAGAGTGATATAATTATATTAAAAATGGATACTAACGTATACTGCACATTACCAACTCACATACACCCAACACAAGCACAATACCAACAACATCTTGAGATGGTGGAGATTTGTAGCTCAGACAGACGTCTATCAGAAGTTTGTGGTGATGATGTCGTTCAGCAGAACGATGAAAGCCCCACGACCGAACCATCCAGCTCAGAGGACAAAACTCCATGAAAACCACCAACATCTGCACTATGACATACTACGTTGGTAACAAATTATACACACATACACTACTATCAACAATTCATAATCCCCTTCATCATTAAATCAGGTAATCAGTAAACAATAGGTGCATTGTGCTCTCTGCTTAACCAATACTATTTATTTGGATTAATCAGTGACAACAGGAAAGAGAAAATAATTATCGATGGTATTCGTCAGATCAGTGATACCTTTTTCTTATGTTTTCCGATTGACTGTGCTAATTCAGAATTACAAACGTATCGATCCACCTGTATCTGTCAATAGACATGTACATACGAAGTGAAGTATTTGTTCAACAGGAATGAACAAAACACTCATTGTTCGTGCCTACTTACACATGCCAAACCAAACATTTCCAACTGGTCATTTTATAAACATACCTTAACTATTCAACGTATCCTTCGTCTTCTTGTTATACAACTGTTGTCGGCATCGTTCTGAGATCCATAAGACTGAATAACTGTATAATTGGAAGTCAAATATACTGTTTTTTCTTATCCAATCGAAATTTACGTGCCAACCCAACCATGACGCGTAAATCACGGTCACACTGGATGCTCTTCAATAGACAGTTGTATAACCAAGGAAATATTAGTACTTACTGTTATTCATTGTCACTAGCATCTTATTGATATTGGAGGATATATTTCACTCTATCATCCATGATGAATGCGTCAACACAAGCTTGTCTGTAAAGATCATCGGTAAGTGTTAGCAGGATATAGGTTGAATTGAAGCGTGTTCCATTCAGTATTGTGTTACTGCATTCTGATTGGCTACTTCTTATCCAATCAGCGCTAGTGGATACTTGGAGCATACTCTGGAATCTTTTTGTTTAACACTATAAATTTGCTATGATTTTTCTTATTGTGATTCCTACTTCCATCTACCCTTGTTATTTGGAGTATAATTTTGTTTCTGTTGAACCCTGTGTAGTGTTTGAATGAACTAATGATTCCTGTGTACTTGTTGAATGCTTGATTTTGAATTCCAAATACGGTACATTCGTTCGTGCTTATCTAGTACTTCTTGATCCAATTGCGTTATTTCTGGGATTCTTAGTTTATACTATGATTCAAATACTTTTAATCATCACACCGTGTTCTGATTTGTGGACTTGTCAGGGTTTTCCAAGTCACTAAACACATCAACATCAATATGCACGGATTTCGGTACTGCAATGTTTACTCAAAAAGAAATATTTTCCCATATTCTGGACTCCTGGGAAATCTTAACCCTCGTTCACCTATAATACTAATAACGTTTGTTTTGTGGAATAATTTTACCAAGTCAGTGTTCTGATTCTGAAGTGTTTCATCTAACAAACTAGTCTACCAATCTCCGATTTATTACTTCACTGATGATTATTGAGGTTGAGCATTTTGGAAAGGGACTTACTATTTTCTTGTTCATTAAATTAAGTGGGTTTCCTTAGTCCATCAGTGCTGGGAATTGATCCTAATGTGTGTTGATCCATGTCGTTTATACCTTATTTCAGTACAGTGAAATGAAGTTATGATAAATTAGTTTCAACTATATCGCATTACTAGACATGTGCAACAAACGATATCGAAGAATGAAAAGTTCAGTAGTGATATTTAACTGAATATTTAAACAATGCTTGTTAACCAGTACTGTTATCCCACTTCGACCAATTTAAGGTCACATTATTCAACATTTCCAATCATTGGTCACTAGTACTAGTCAATTCCTAATTAAGAAGTTTCCATGTTTCCACATGCTTCCGACCAACAATCAAAAATATCATGAATTGGATTTCACATGAGAGTTGAACATTAGTTTTTGATACTTTGTTTTCTACGGGATGAGGTTGCCGACCCTATGTCCAACGCTCCTTCTTTGCCCGGTCTTGGGACTGATAGTAAATCTAGAATAGCTACAGGCTGAGTCAAAATGTTCAATACGAATGTCAAGACAATTCTACTGTACGAGGCTGAAACTTGGCGAACTACCACAACCATCATTAAAAAAGTACAATTGTTTATAAACAATTGTCCACACAAGATACTCGATACCCGTCGTCCGGATAGCATCAACAACGACCTACTGTGGCAGAAGACAAACCGGCTTCCAGATGAAGAGGAAATTAAGAGACGACGGTGGAAGTCGATAGTAAATACATTACGGAAATCACTAAATTACATCACGAGGCAAGCGCTAACGTGGAATCCTGAAGGGAAACGGAAAAGAGGAAGGCCGAGGGACATACTACGTCGGGAATCGGAAACAGACATGGAAAGAATGAATGATAACTGGAAAGGATTGCCCAGGACAGAGTTGGATGGAGAATGTTGATGATCGGCCTATGCTCCTCCAAGTGGGCTAACAGGCGTAAATAAATAAAGTATTTCTATTTATTCTTGATATCCTATTCGTTTTGATAAACAATTATACATTAAATTAATTAAGAGTATCTTTTCTCTTCATTTGTGTTTTTTTGTTTATTTAACATTGAATCAATATTTTGATATGAAATAATAAATAACAGTTGTAATAACCACTGACCACATTGTGATCCATTTTTTTGGACGACTTCTTGATTCTAGGAAAGGAGAAAACACAATGAATGAAAAGATGAATTTTTCAAGGATTATTTTCAATTATTTCAGGAAAATACTAACTAAAACTACCTATACTACAAATGGATTTATTTGAAGGACGATGGGCTTATGATCAAAAGAACTGAGATTTCATTCAGTTGATAGTGTTGGCATTGATGATATTGTGCATGTGGTTATTTTTTATTGCCTGAGTTTGGTGTAGGATGTTAGTTAGTGATGTGTAGTATATGGTTATGCGGAGTCCCGGCCGACTTCGTGGTGGTGCCGTGGTTAGTCTGTTCGTCCGCCAGATGTGTGATTGTCGATAGCTGTCTGGTGGACTAGGCCTGCCTACGTCCACTGGATGGAGAGTGTCTGTTAAACTTATCCAGACGACTACGACGACAATGGCTTAGCATAAACTGGGTAGATAGTGGTTTCCTCCTCATTGCTCTCTCACGTGCAAGCACAACACACTCTCATTGACTTCAACCTTATTACACTCATTCCAATCATTATCCCAATACAATGCTTACAACTGAATTATTTCCACCTTCGTTCACCCAGTCAGTAAGTTAATCAGTCCACGCCATTTCCACTTCAACTATACACCCTACCCCACAGTATCAAACACTCGCTCGTTCGTTTAACATACTCATCACATCATGCTTATCTATTCACCCTATGATGACTACCTTCTCACACATAACATACAGAAGGTAATGAATTGGTCGGTCTGCTGGAAGCTGTGCTATACCTGTTTTATTATGTCCAACAAGTCTATGATTCATACTGCAGATCGTTATCACCAGTGATATGCTGATTTTGCATGAATATTTTAGAAAAGGAATGAATAGCCCATGGAAATGGTTTAGATTGGAACTGAAATACCGATAGTTGTATTCACTTGTCTACTAAAATCTGGAACATGCAACTTGCTTGCTGAGTGAATGCTAACCTTAGTGCTGAATGGTGGGAAATTAGTGAAAATTTAGCTAATTAAGATGTGCTACTTATTATTTTAGTATGTAGCACGAACTGTTTAGTCAAATCACTTATCCATAGGTATAATTTATTGATTTTGTGTTTAGACTTTGGATTTCATGAGTTGGTATTTCTGAAATGCTCAGCGTCACCATATCACAATATAAGTGCTTATAAATATATTGATCAGATGTATTTATCCTTCAATGATTACATCTGAATGTAGTATTCCATTCATAGATCCATTCTTCCACATTACATACAAGATGTTTTACAGTAATGTGTAACGTTTCTCGATAACTCTACTTAGTTAGTTTGTTTTATATGTCGATAGATCACTTGTGAGATGTTGTACAATCAAATGTCTGTACGTCTCGATCAACGTTTAAAAATACACTTTACCATATAAACAATCTGAAAACAAACTATCAATCATCTGTTTCAAATTATCTAGTGGTAGAATACCACTCTTAACAATGCGCAATCATCAATTCAGTGAGTTTCATTCTAAATACTAGTTTTCTTCACAAGTGATTGGTCACTGGATGATGATCAATGTCATGTGTGTCAAGTCCTTATTTAGTGCAGATCGAATGCTATCGACCATGTTGCAATGTGGTCACCAGTCTAGGTGACTCGATACTGCGTGCATTATATATTGAGATTAGATGGTAGTTGGAGGTCGATAGCATTTGATCTGCACTAAATAAGGACTTGACACACATGACATTGATCATCACCCGGTAATCAATCAATTGTGATTACATCTCAGTCCTACAGGAGGTCAGTCGCGGCCCGGATAGCTCAGTGGTAAAGTCTCTGACTGTGAAGCTAGGTGGCACGGGGTCGAACCCTCCAGGGAGCACCAGTTCCCTCAAGATTGCAGGTACACCTTGATGACGAGTGCCAAGTAGCACAAAACCCGGGTCCAGGGGTTTCTGTCGACTATCTCCAACCACCATCTAAACTAGTTTTCTTCGTCAGTGTTATGTTTAATGTTCTGGCTTTATTTTTATGGTTTGTTATGTTTTCATTACTAATTTGTCTATTATATTCAGAAAGTATATGTTTTCATAAATGTGATAATCCTTTTTAAATAAACTGATTCACTTTACTTGTATCTCTATTTGTCTATATGACAGGTTTTATTTGGAACTACATTCATTAAGTTCACTTGGTGTTGTTTACTTGTATCTTCACATTGTTATTTAGGACTACAATTGATCAGTCTCTTGTTGGTATATGTGCATCCTGTGTGAACTGATTCGATATTGCTTTAAGTCACAAGCTTTATATGCAAAGATGGAAAATGGCTGACAATGGAATCCAGGAGGCACGTTTCACCCTATTCGGCACTCGTCAGATGGATGTACCTGCGTCTCAGAATTAATGTTCACCGTGAGACTCGACCTCAGTACCGTCCGCTTCAAACGCCATTGTGTTATCCACTTATGCAATAGGATGAAATTATATCCACTTGTTGTTGTTTACTTGTATCTTTCCATTGTTATCTAGAACTACGATTGATCAGTATTTTGTTGGCATATGTGAATCATGACGAATGTTTTTTCTAGGGAAAACACTGAACTTTTGTGATCTTAATCGGTTTAATTTACTTTTGATATCAATCAATTAACTGTACAATAATGATGTACCATTTGACGAGACCGATTATCATTTGATTTAAACAAAAAAATTATTAAACGAGATTTATAATTTCATTCAGCTGGTTATGGGACACTTACCAGAATCATTCCAGTCTAAATTAAGAGCATACGATTTGTCATGATTGAGAATACATCATGGACAAAATTTAGTTAAACGACGGTTGAAATCTAAGAAGTACTGGACAACTTTTTTACCCTAATATGGGGCGCCTTGGCGAGATGCATCTCTACATGTTCATCGGAGATCGAAGCCAGGACTTTTGATTTTTCAGCAAGCACTTTACATCTAAACCATTGAGCTTGTATATAATGCCTAAAGTGACCAACTTAAAAGAAGTCGTGATATAACGCAACCACCCGCTATCATCATTGGGGGATGACACTTCCACACTCGACAAGATTAAACACTTACTAGAACTCCAAGAATCACTTCACGTCGTTAATTTCGCATTTACTTGTTAGATTAAATCATTGTTGAGTGCTTTAATAAAAAACCCTAACTTTTGCATTGAAAATGTTTGTTAAGTTGGTAAATCTATTAGTAATTTTTTATTGCCCCCAAGTCCCATGGTACGGCCGAGAGTTGTGAGAGTCCACCCTCCCCCTCGAAATGCTTTCACACAGCCGCTGTCATGGAAGTCCAACTCAAATGGCGTATTAACCAATTATAGGTCACCGGCTATCTTGGGACTGCATCTTCTGACGTTGCTCCACTGATTTGTGGATCAGCCCTTTAGGTTAAAGACTCCGAGTTTTGCCCCCTAAGAAAACCACCTGGGCACCCGGGCAGTATCACAGCTCACACACAAATCGAATGATTTATGTTGTGCATATCTCTTTTGCGCCTCTTTGTACCAATATTCATGTGTTCAAATAAATAAAATTTGTTATTAGTTAGATATTCATTCTCGTCAGATACAATTATTGCCTTCGGTATTTAGGATTCTTAAGAATTGAAATTCTCTTACCGAATATAATCTTAGTATATATTTTATAGTTTTACTGAATACAATTTAGTGGTAGTTTAACCTTGGTTTGTTATCTTACTTTGATTAATATATTTTTATGGATAAAGTTTTTGGCTATCATTTAGTAAAGTGGTTTTGAGTGCCGTTATAGGTATGAGGGCGGTTATCACTTCCCGGTCGCCCACACAGTAGAAGAGTTTTTCTGAAAGTATCTGAAAAGGAAATTGGATTAGAGGTGGTCTTAGTGACCTCAGAGCATGACCGCAGTGCCCAAGAGACAATTGCTTGGGGTCGATCACGCACGACGTTTTTGGGAGTAATTTCCGTATTAGCTCCGTACTTGTTGAGACCTTACCATCGGAGATGGATATTCGTGGGATAACGTTGGGTGTGCATTTTTAGGGTAGACCATTTCTAACCCATACTTCCTTGTGGGAAGGCAGCATCACTGTTATGCTGATGGTCCGAAGGAAACACTGTACTGCCGTCATACCTCTGCACAGTCAGCAGTACGACTTCGCCTTCGGACCTTAGGTTTGTTGCTTTTAGTCTTACCGCTCTTCAACCAACCTGTCTGACATGGTAGGACCTTGAGTAAAGATTGTTTCAGCCAGTAGAGCTCGGTTGATTCATCATAATAGGCAAACCTGACCACCACGTCAATGTAGCAACAGCGGTCGGTATGGCAACTTGGACCGATGCATATATGTGCCTGGTCCTACGTTGTAGCTGACTATCATTTAGAAACATACTACAAAATGGTGTCATTGTATTATAAATCAATCTGTATTTATTTATTATTTACACGATCTAATTGTGAACGATGACACATCTCTAACAGGTAATATTATTGATAAGGAAAGTTTCTTCGTTGAAACGTCTCCATCTTGTTCAAGTGTAATTTTATTGTGGCGCTGTTCAGACTGTAAATGTTGATATCGAAAAAGATGCGACAAATTGTTTGTAATTAGTCGATAGCAAAAATGAACAACTTACAAATGAAGATAAGTGGTGGCTCTAAAAATAATGAAATAAAATCACATTGTATTTCAACTACTCAAATGCACTCATTATCTTGAAAGTGATTTTATCTATGTCACTCGGAATCTTCAAAACTAAAAGAGAAAAGGAAGATCAAAGGACACATTACACCAAGAGATGAAGACAAACATGAGAAGAATGAACAACAATTGGATAGAACTAGAAAGGAAGAGCCAGGACAGAGTGGTTTGGAGAATGCTGTTTGGTGGCCTACTCCCCATTGGGAGTAAGAGGCGTAAGTAAGTAACATAAGGAGTGAAAATGTCTTTCACAATCTTTTACCGGTCGTTTCAATTGTTTTTAACGCTTGTGGTAACATCCGGTTATCAGATGTATGAAAGAAATTGACAGAAAGACCTGTTCTATTCAAGTCTCGGATCATGTGGCACATATCATTATGGTGTGTCTAAACTATTGAGTCAATAGATGCTCTTATAACAGAATTATTGGTTTTAACGTTATTGACAAAAGTTTCATTATTGACTGGTAAATTAAACTACGTGGTAAGGTGAAACTAATGTAGATTAGTTAATCGTTAGATAATCTTCGGTGATTGAATTCTGAATTTAATGAAGAAGCCAAAATGGAACTTACAACTAAACTAAGCTGCCCATTCCTTTTTATTTTTTTCTTAGACAATTATGGATCATCGTCCATAAGTACTATATTAAAACATTTGTACCTTATGACCTCAATGGAAACTTTGTCTATCGAATGCCATTAGAGAAATCTTAAGATTAGCCATTATTTAAAGATCGGTTAAATAGGTTGATTTTAAGTGTTAGTTTCAATCTAATATAAATGAAGTAAGAACGATTAAGATGGTTGGAGATAGTTGATAAGGAACCCTAGGCGTAGGTTTCGTATTTTCTTGTCACTCGGTGGTAAGGTATATCTAGGTACAGTGTTTCCTGTCGGATTCCTCAATGCACCTTATGCCTCACAATGGTAAACTCAATGTCGAGTCACCTAAACTAGTGATTAAATTACAACATAATCGATACAATTCGATCAACACCAAGAAAATCTTGACATACATAACACTTATCCATGACCAACCGATTAGAATAGTAACGTGTCCGTACGCAACGCTGTGTAGTGAGGTCGTTGGATCGGTGTCGTTTTAGTGGCTTTTCCGCTCGATTGATGCTAAGAAGATGACCTAATTTGATTATTTAGAAAAAGTAAAAGTCGTAACAATGTTTCCGTAGGTTTAACTTGCGGAAGGATCATTATCATGACCCAAAAATATTTAATGAAGCATGCACTTGGCTTCGCAGTGGACTGCATCTACACTGACATAGTGGTATTTACCTTAGGATTCAGCGATTGAATAAAGCATGTACCTAGCTTCGTGCTGGAATGCATGTACGCTGGCTTAGTGGTATTTACCTTAGACTTCATCTAGCATCTGTTTAACTGAAGATCGAAGAGTGAAATTAGCCTTCATTTCTCACTGAATAATTGTTGGTTATTTGTCTGAAATGTTAATTCTTATTTATGGAGTCAATTTAGGGTATTACTTACTAGTTGTCGTCAGTTTTACTTGTACTGAAGTAGCTAAAATGATTAATATGAAAGATACATAAATATTTGATCGAATTACATAAATATTAATTATAGAAATAAATCTCTTATTGATGATTTCATAATTCAATAAAACTGTAACACAGATTCGTAATCATATTGATTAAGTATTATAGATGAATGGAGTTAGCCCCCAAATACCTTAATACGGTCGAGAGTGGGGAGAGTTCGCTCTCCCTATCAAAATGCTCTCACATGGCCACGCGTATATAGCCTCTGCCAAAAAAATCCTACTCATTGCCTTCTCGCACCACGGGTGTTGTTTACGAAATTGAGAAGACGAAAAGCAAATATCCGGCGCTTTGAACAGGTTGGTGAACATGGAGAGTCCATATACATGAGTTGGAAAACCCTCATTCCAAACCAATGGTACGCATGGGCTCCAGTACCCTGACGGAACTAATGGCGTATGAACCAATCGTTGGTGACCGGCTACCATCGGACTGCATCTCCTTACGATGCTCCACTACCTTGTGGATCAGACCTTCATGTCGAAGGCTCCGAGTGTGGCCCCCTAAGAAAACCAACTTCTTCGGTTTGGGCACCCGGGTAGTATCACAGCCCTCACACACATAAAATGAGATTTGTGTGGCGTATATGTATTTAGTGCCTCCTTGTACCAATATCTGTGTTAAAATAAATAATTAAATAGTTGATTAAGCTTATTGATAAACTTTTTCAATGTGTTATAACTTGTGGCTTTTTTCCCTTATCAATATATGACGTAATGATACTGCCAATTAAAGAACAGTGAATTATCGACCAAACCAGTGATGGCCAAAACCCATATGAACAGTCTAGAGTCCTTATTGGTCCTTCTTCCTGCCTAGCCTTGTCTATTGAGCACAGAAAACTCATCTCAACTACCATTATATGAATCATCTATTTTAAAAACACTGAGTTCTTATAACAAACCAAACAGACCACATCATACCATAAAATAGGAAATGAGATTTGTACGAGATCTAGCCAGAAATGGCTGTGAATGTGAGCGACTGTAATTAATGGACTGAGCATAACTCAAGAATGGTAAATCATTTAATAATGGTTTATTGATCAAAGTAAAGCTTGTAATAAGAGACGTATAGATGTACATTACCTAGCTACTGAATAATTATACATTAAGAATATACGTATAATATTTGTCCATGAATAGTTCTCATAAGTTACCGTTCATAATTCTCTCCAGGTTATAGGACCATGTTCTATAAGTATGCTGCATTTGGCATTTCCAGCCGGCTAAGCGGTCCAGTAGGTTAATCGTTCGCGCGTGAGACTGAAGGCCCTGGGTTCGAATCCCGCGAGCGGGATAGTGGATGCGCACTGCTGAGAAGTCCCACAATAGGACTAGACGGTCGTCCAGTGTTTCCAAGTTTTCAATGGTGGTCTAACATCAATCGGTTCATGATTTCAATCAAAAAC